CTCTCAGTATGCTCAGCCTCATTACAAAGAAAGAATGTCTCAGTTTGACATTAGTCACCAATTACAACACCCAGACCTAAACTTGACATATACTCCAAACTGTTGAGTATGATGCTGCCTCTCTTAAAGATATCACAACAATGTCCAAAGATTGTATTATTGCATTGATGTAATATTAATTTCTTCATTACAATTTGGAACACAATCTGTCAACAAAAGACAATGACCAAAAATATTAATCATTCTGAAACCAATGGGGTAAACGTCCGCTCATATCCCCCCTTAAAAATATATATGATTAAAAGGATTGAGCAGCAATACATACATATATAACATTTGGATGGGGATACGGGTAGCACCAATGCCAATTCCACCAATGGTCCCATAATCTTCTATTTGGCTGGCTAAGCATCAAGGTTTGATGAATTAATTTGTGACAGAACAGTATCTCATCCTAAATCATTGTACAAAGTTCTCATCGAATACAAGAGCAAATACTACATGTGCTGGTGTCACAAATAATTTCTTGAATTATCAATTTTTATTTCTACTAACTTTTGGCACTTCTAAGTCATTTTCCAAATAATATTTGCATCCTCGTGTCATTGCAAAAAAAAATCAAAATGAAAGTAGGTATAGCATGCTCACAAACATAACATATTGCCAACAATGCAGGATGTCATTTAAGCATGACCTATTTAAAAGATAATATAAGCTTATCAGAATTAAACACGGTTTCCGACTCCAACGAATCACAAACTTGAAACTTGCTTTTCAGATCATGCGTCTGCTTATTTGCATGGGACATTAAATATACCTTAGATCTAAAGACTGACAACTTCAAATGCTCATTGCAAAATGAAATAAAATCAATAGTGGTATCATGGCACATCGTATGCATGCATGAACATTACAATCATATAATTAATCGGTAAACATCCTTTTCACATGTACGTATACATCACATCTCACCACAACAGCTTGTGCCCGTCCCACTAAAAATAGCGACATCTGGCGTCATTCGAATCAAGGAAGATAACTTTGCTTGACAAACTTCGAGGCTATATTCTAGATAACTTATAATTATGTGATAGGTTTTTTTACCGTGCGTATAATGATTCAAGCCGTGGTAAGATGCACATTACCAGAAATATATCCTATAAAACGAATAATTTTCAGAAAATTAGCAGCACATGTGTTTACACATGTTTCATGAAGGCACACTTCGTTTACATTTTGGCATTACCATAAGAAAACTTTGGACATATTTTCTATCTATGACACTTAAAGGCGGAAGTAAACATTACGTGAAACAATAATAAAAAGAATGGGTGAAGGGACAAATAGTTCAGCTATTAATCATCGTCCCAGCACTAAACATTTGAATAAAATCTTTTTTTTTCAAGGGAACCGATAATTCATCATATGAGTGATGGCTTGCCTATTTTTTTTTTTTATCTATGAGTGGACATATTTATCTATAAACTCTATTATTAACGCTATCACAAAATACTTGCCCACTTTAGCTATTCGTGCCTATGGCGCCGGGTGAATGTTAAATCCTTACAGATCCACTGAAAACAAAACACCTAATTAATGCCAGTTATCTCGCACCAATAAATACACATTGTCACTCACCCAATTACGACACAGTCCAATTAAATACATTGAAGTGTTATTGCGCGTACAATCAAAGGTCGTGTCATTAATTTGGTATTGTTTGCATATTTGAGTTAGAGCTATGTATAAAACGTACTTCGTATGTTGGCCTGTTTGTCAAAGTGTGAGAACCTAACTTCGGTGTTTGGCTGTTTGCAGTCAGACTTGATGCACACGTAAATCTCCCAAGTCTCGCTACTCTGCTCATGAATTTCTCAGTTTGCTGTTATTCGTGCCAAGCAGGACAGTACAGCCCGGAAAGATTGTGAGCCCCCAAACACACACAAGGTAGTTGTACAGATGAGGGTAGAGTTTAATAACTATTGAAATAGTTGCACATTAGCTGCCTGCGGTAACCGTATCTTTGTGCTGCTTGGTGTAAACGATTGACTTGTCGCTACACACGTAGCGTTGTGCTGCTCCCTATAAACGATTTTGATAATGACGTGGCAATATGAAAATCGTTTATAAAGGAGCGGCAGGGAAACGGTTACCGAAGATATTTGCATACGTGAATTTGATTGAATCCAGATGTCACCATGCCGTCATATATTGCTGTCAGTGACGTTCCAAAAACATAATATCAATGTTATTTTTTAACATTTGTATGCATTTTCATGTTTTAAATGTCGATTGGTAAAATGCAGAATAAGCTAGTCGACTCTCCAGCTCAAGAATATCCATCACACATGTATAGGCGCTTTTTCGTCTTGCGATAATAGGGTGAAATTGGCGAGAAATACATGGTGTTCGTAGCTGCTTAGTAATTCTCCAATACTCGCAAAAATCTGCCACAGTGGAGTGAATCTGTTCATGTCGATAATATATTATGTAAAACACTGAGTAAAAGTAATCCATTTTAATCAATCCAGTAAAACACACGGTTATACAATCACAAATAATGCCGAATCGTTGAAGTATTGTTATGGATTAAAATATTGGGTATTAATATTTCGGTGTTTAGGATTAAAATATTATTTGATATTAAGATTTAGGGGTTTTCGATCAACTTGCTTCATGTGCTTTAAACGTCAATATTTAATCTTATATCCAGATAATTGTGAAAAATAACAAGTAGTTGAAAATGAATCAAGAAATAGATTGATGTGAAATGTTATTAGTTGTAGGGGAATGTTACATTGATATTTTCCTTGCTTGCGAAAGAAGTCATTTTTTTGTTATGTTTTTCTTTTATTCACTTGTAAATTAGTGCAACATATATTAAATTTAGGATTTGCAACGTTGATTCTGTCAAAATATGTGATTCACATGTTTCATTGAATTGTGGTGCACTGTGGGTAACACGCGTGTAGTCGCCATTTTCTTCTTATTCAAGTTCGAACAGGAGGTGAGAGGGAATGTTTCAGTGTTATTAGAGCTCGGTTTAAGTGATAAGTTGCCACATTACTATATTGTAAGTCCTTAATTTAAGTGGGAGTCTATATTCCATTGCGGCAAATAGCGTCATAATTTTCTGGTATTAGTTACAAAGAAGTCTTGTTTTCGATAATTTTGGGTGGTAGGCCCAGGTAAGGCGATCATCTGAACGTTTGTTCAACGTTGCGATTATTTTGTTTACATTTTATGCATCCTAAAACCTAAAGAGCGATCGATCGAAACGTATGTATTATTCTTCCGACATTTGTATCTTTTAAGAGGAAGCGCATTATTATGCGATTCACCGATGGGCGTAATGCCACCGAAGCTGTAAACCCTTCGTGTTTTTTAGATTACTCTTATTAAAATGGGGGCGATGGGGGTAGCCTTGTAGTTTAAAATCATTCGCTTGTCACGCCGAAGACCCGGACCCGTTCGATTCCCCACATGAGTACAATATGTGAAGCCCATTTCTGGTGTTGTATTCGCTTCAATAATAAGAGTTAATTGATAAAGAATAATCGGACCAGATCACCATGATCAGACCCCTGAAGCAAGATAGTGATATTACTGAACCACTGGACCCATATATATATAAATAGACAAGGTACGTCACTCGCCCGACATTAAAATAGGCTGTATTGTTAAAATTAAATTGAAATGTATGCATGTCATGTTCACAATACCTCCCTCTACATACAACCTGCATGCCACAAACCTTAATTTTTTGGCAATTTATTACCTATATCGGGTGATTTTATCGAAACACTGGTTCAGTCACAGCTATGGGTCACGGAAGTAAACCAAAAATCTCTGCGCTCAATGGCATCGAGTACTGTGATTGGTCCATTCTTCAACCATAACAAACGCACATGGGGATATTTACCATTCGTAGCGCTCGAGGCCATTGAGTGAGGAGATTTTTGTATACTTCCGTGACCCACAGCTGCGACTGAGCCAATATTTCGATAACATCATCCGGTATAGGTAATGAATTGCAAAAAATGAAGGTTTGTGGCATGCAGGTTGTATGTGGAAGGAGTTGTGAACATGACATGCATACATTTCCATGTAATGTAATCGATACAGCCGATTTCAACTTTGGCCAAGATGGCGAGTGACGTACCTAGTCTATTTACATATATGGGTCCAGTGTTTCAATAATATCACTATCCTGCTTCAGGGGCCTGTGGACCAGATTTGCTTCGGTCATTTGAATTACACAACGATTATTTATATTTGCCTCATGTACCAGGATCATGCATTGTCCTTGTTCATGTCATGAGGATTGTTTTGCTCCATGCTTGTTACACATTTAAAGAGTTATAGTTAGTATGACTATAATATCGTGGTATATAGGCAGTAGCATGTGGAATGCAGGTTGTCCAAGTCAAAATAAACAAAAGTTCTTACCAATTTGTTCTGAACTTATGTTTTAGTTTGTGTATCTTCAACATGTTCAATATTGTTTGCTTATTTATGTTATCAAGACCAGCGTCAGAAATTGGCACTAGTCCTGTAGTCCTTGCCAAACTTCTCAATGGTAAAGGTGTCATAAGGACCAGTAGAAATTTGCCATTTTTAGGGGTTTAGGGGCTATATGTTATCTTTATAAGGACGAGTGGACTGAAACTGTTAGTTTCTACCGCAGAAGCCCTGTGAAGATTCGGGGTTTAATAGGTCTTTAGCAACCCATGCTTGTCGTAAAAGACGAAGAACGGGATCAGGTGGTCAGGCTCGCTGACTTGGTTGATGCATGTCCCTGTTGCGTGGATTGATGCTCATGTCAATCACTGGATTGTCTGGTCCAGGCTTGATTATTTACATACCGTCATCATATCGCTGGAATATTGCTGAGTGCGGCAAACAAACAAAACTATTAATGCAGCATACTTTGCAAGTCATTGAGAATGAGAATATTAGTCTGGTGGTAAATATTGAACATGGTAAATTTTCTATTTCAGCATATCATGTCAAGATACAGGGATCAAGGCACAGACACAAAGATTTATGTGGGAGACCTACCCAAAGATGCATCTGAGAAAGAAATAGATCGCCACTTCAGTTATTACGGTCGTTTACGAAATGTATGGGTGGCAAGAAATCCCCCAGGTTTTGCTTTTGTTGAGTTTGAAGATCCACGGGATGCTGAGGATGCAGTGAGAGCACTTGATGGAACGTGAGTAGTTAACTGTTGAAATATTGTTCTTTAATGCTTGTGTGACTGTGATACACTATCAATTAGCATGTCTAGTAGCAACATGTCTGTATGCTATATAATAATGGACTTTGTCAATTTGTCATTGTCATTGTCATTGTCATTGTCATTGATTGCTGCATACCATCCCTGCTAACCAGTGAGGTGATTTGGTTACAGAACTGTCTGTGGCGCAAGAGTGCGTGTCGAACACTCCACTGGAAAAGTGCGCCCTAAACCATGGCTGAGGGGCAGTGGAGGTAGCGGAGGTGGTGGTGGTGGCGGCGGCGGCGGTGGCGGCGGTGGGGGCGGTGGTGGTGGTGGTAGAGGCCCTCCACGTCCCCGGAAACAGTTCCACCCTGAAGACCGATGCTATGAGTGTGGAGACCGAGGACACTATGCCTATGACTGCTACAAGTATAGCCGCAGAAGGTCAAAGAGATCAAGGTGGGTTTTGTGCAGTCTTAAACACCTGCTTATAACTTTGGTTAGAAATTGGGTACATTTTGAATCTTGACTCTCCACAGTGCTTGCTTGTTATGTATCTGTCCATATACATGTGTTGTCGATCATGATGTTAAATGGTTGCTTTGAAGTGTTTTTAGATGGGGTTGTCAATTCAAATTTTCTACTCAAAATTATTAGTGTTGATGAATCAACCTTGTTTTGAGGAAAAGATTTTCAACTTTTAAGATTATTGTATCGGCAATGAAACTCTGTCACACGTTTCTATTGTTGACGCCTTCAAAGGTATTGGTGTTTGACAGAAAGGTCCTTGAGTTTTGTGTTGAAGTTCGTAAGCTGCTGATGCATGGAGTTTCTAAAATAGTGACAGCTTGGTACTGTCGTGGTGGCAAATGGAGACACATGCTTATTGGTTCATCTCTTTTGTGTACTTACTTGCTTGTCAGATTTCTTCTGTCATATGTGGGATCGCTATGTGTGTTTACATGTTTATTTCTCATTTCAGCAAAAATATTCTGAAGGCTAAGATATGTTAGGTTGAGGTACTGAGGTACAAAAGAAAATTCTATTATGTTTGAAACACTTTTAGACTTCACAACTGAGTATCACAATTGCCGTTTTCCTGAGAAAAAAAATTTGAAAATGCTTTTTATGTTTAAATGGTCTATTTTTAAAGATATATTTTACTAATTACTGTTAAATGTTATGGTATTCTTTAGTTTAGTGTTGCAGAACTTTTGAACATGTTGTTAAAAATTGGTGAATGGGATATGAAATATAGGATTAATTTTAAGTCCTGATATATGATGTTATAGTGAACTTATTTCTGTCACTGCATTGCAGACTTTCCCTTCTTCCACTTACGATTCTGATGAGAATCATCGCTCATTCCACCAGACTAAGATATCAACCTTCATCCCCGACTTCTAGACTTCACATATCTCTCACGTGATCAGCCATCGCTGAAATTACGACCCCATCCCCCCGTGGTGACTTCACTCAGAGAGAAACTCGATCTGCAACAATTTCAGCCCAAAATTCGACCATCTCCTTCAGTTCACCTGAGACAAGCGTCAAATAGATCTCGAAACAACAAGCACAATCGATGATCATCCTTCTATCATACACAGTAGAATGGGTCAACACATCATTTCTGCTGCGTTCCAATGATTGAATGAGATGATCGATTGAACATACACGACCATTATCTAGAAATTCATGACTGCTGTAAGCGTAAGTCTAAAACTGCCGAGAATGAATCTGATATTAAGAGAAAATATGGTTGCTTTCCATACTGGCAAAGACTTTCAATCACCCAATGTTTTTGTTATCATGAAATTGTGTTCAAAGTTTCACCTTTTGGCTATTTTCCATCAAAGAATTAGTTAAAGTAAAACATTTTAAAATTATTTTTTTTCTTATTTTTGTCAGTTAAATCTGGTGCTACATGTATTTTTGTATTTCAGCTTACTTGTTTCTATAAAAAGTACCTAAAATATTACAAAGTCCCATATATTATTTTTGGTAGAATTATTTTCAGGCGACCTTTGGTCTGTGGTAAGTGAAGGTAGGAGTAAACTTTTGAATTAAATTGCTTCCCCAGTTTTGTTTTTACACATTACTAATGTTCCATTCAGATATTCTAATATGTAATGTATCCCAACAGGCCATTTAGGTGTGTTTACTCTATTGCAATGTGTAAAGTGAGAGGCTGATATAATTTCAGGTCTAGATCGCATTCTAGATCAAGGAGTGTGTCTCGCAGCCGGAGCCGCAGCAGGAGCCGCAGCCGCAGTCGAGGTGGGAGATATTCCCGCAGTCGGAGCCACAGTCGGAGCAGGTACCTATTCAAACATGCTTGACACCATCTTTTTCTTTGACATCATGCTGATGTAGACACCATTGGTCATGCAACTAGTCTGCAGCTTGGATAAGTGGTGATTTAAAATAACTAGATTTTAGGATAAAATAACTTATCGCTCTCATTTCTCGGACAAAGAAACTAGTGTCTGTCTATCCGTCAATGGCGAACAATGTGTGAGGCAGGGATTAAGTGAGGTGTATTTTTTGGTATAGTGCATGAGGTTCCTCACCTATGGGAGATACCTGTGTAGATCATGGGTAGAATAGGTCTCCTGCAATCCATGCTTGCCGTAAAAGGCGGCTAACTTGATCGGGTGGTCATGCTTGCTGACATGATTGATGCATGTAGCTGGAATATTGCTCAGTGAGGTTTTAAACAAACAAACTTAAGGGAGAGGGAGAATGTGAAGCCTGTGCATGCGGTCCCCAGTTGTTTAAGTACTGGAATATCACTAACAGTGGTAAAAAACTGAACCCACTCATTCACCCACAAACTTGCTGGGTTTCTGTAAATGTACAGCTAATTGGGTTTAAGGTCACTTTGAACCGTGTTCCTGTTATTTCACATCATGCCAGCTTTATCTGGGAGGAGTGACCTAAGTGATGCAGGTCTCGGATATAATGTGTGTGAACAGTGATTTGAACCCACATATTTTGGTTTCTGATGTGCTCAAGGGGCACAACTCTGCTCAGCAAATTGTGGTGGCTTAGACAACTTGGCCTCCTGTTCCCCTGTGTAAATGCATTAGAGGTTTCATGAACAGTATTAAAAAGTAGAGCAATTACCCTTGAATGAACTGATCAGCTTCTGTCTTTTCTTCCTCAGGTCCCCACGCGACCGCTCCCGATCTAGATCACGCTCCCGTGACCATGAAGATGACCGAGAATAAGAAGGATATACCGAGTGCTACAAAATTGTCCTTCAATGAGAACAACTACGTTGACTCTGTTCCATCATGTATGTCATTGCTACTGTCCTGTAACGGAAACTAGGTGTAAGTAATCAACATGTAGATAATGGAACAGCCTGTTCGTCAATGCCAGAAAAGGTATGGAAAAACAGTTCGATCAGGATTGCTGCAAATGTGGACAACTTGTAGGATGCTGAACAGTTTCTTGGTATATATGACTCCTGTTACCGGAACAAATGCTGAACAGAACATTACACGTTGTTCTGTTGAATTCCAACAGTTTGGATTGATGATACTCCTGTAATTGAAAAGTGTATGTTGAACAGTTTGACTTACTTTTTAATGTCTCATCCCTGTCATTGTCTTAAGTTCATTGTCATTTCTTTTGTCATTTTATGAGAGTTTCATACAGTGTACCATCTGATGTATTGAATTCCATTTAATAAAGGTTCCTCTGTGTACTTACATCATTGTTTTGTCATGTTTTCATGATGCAAACATGGTGGGTGATTTTGTGGCTGAAACCTGATGCTTGGTACATTGTATACTGTCATATTGACCAAGGGCACAGATGGTTTAGTGGCCTTTGCCCCAGCCACAGGCATTTATGGCTGTTATCTCCTGGCCTTGTGAATTCCTGGTCCCCGGGGGAGCTGTGCTGGTTGTAAGAGGTGACTTTTTGTGTTTTGTGGTAGGACTCTGTTCATTGTGTGTTGTCATAAGCTGACTGCCTGGATCCTTGCTGATATAATAACAGTCACTTGATTTCTGGTCGAGGCTCAGTTTCAGGGCAGTCTTCATATGGCTGGAATTTTGCCATGGTATGCAAATTTGGGCTCTCTTCACACACAAAGCCTGATTGGAAATTAGAAGTTTCCACCTTACAAGAGGTTGGCTGTGGGCTGAAACACTTCACTTTCTTGCAATCAAGATGCACAATGAGAGGATAAGGTGATGCTCACAGGGGGAACCAAATAACAGTTATCACCTGGAATGATTCTCATCGGAAGCGTGAGGTTCCTGGGTATGTCTTTCAACAAGTAACTATAAAACATTCACACTTTCCAGAGGATGCCTTATGTCCTGTTGATATTTGGTAGGGCTTTGTCATGAGGAACCAAAAACTAGCTCAGAGAGCAGTTTCCATTACACATACTCTTGAAATGGAATGTCAGTTGGATATTATGAATGAAATTTTGTTATTACACCACCACCACCACTAACTGAATTTCATACAAATGGTGCATATATTATCAACGGTCAAAGTGTAACGAACAAAATGGGGTATATAGGAACTCTGCTTCTCAATGAGGTCAACTTTTGTCAAAAACTAAGTCAGAAGTTAAATTTTGCACTCTGATGTTTATACTGGTCATGATCTTAAATGAGCTCAAAAACAGGTGTCTTAAATTCATTTTTTGCAGAGTTTTGGCCCAGGCGACATGCTTTTCAACTTACTGCATACTGCGTGAAATAGAGTTTACTCAGAAACTGCTGAAGTTACACGAATGAAAGCTTGCATGCTTATCTGAGAGATACCAGACTGAGTTTGAAAATAGATGCCATAAATTATTGTTTTTTTCCAGAGTTACATCCCTTGCTTCACGTTTAAGATTTTGTGCTGACACAATTACGGCCCTTGATCCATGTAATTTACTTTATTTAGTGCACAGTGTCTGCAATGGGGAAATTGTTCATGACATAAAGCCATCCCCGTGCCCATCTTTTCTTAAGGACATATAAGACTCTCTTCTTTATCGTTGACATTAATTTCCATATTATTCACTACTATATGAATAACAAAATTCTATCGTGTCCCATGGCAGGGGTAGTGATAACACCGATTGTCTGTTCGTTATTACAAGATCACTATGCTTGCAATGAATTAAATCTGAGTCAAATGATGCATCTATCATCAATACTGTCGTCGACAAACCTGGGGGATGTTGCAGTCGTTTCCCATGGGATACTGCTAGATCATAGATTCTGCGAGCCTACAGGACACTACAGTCAAACTGCTGCATGAGCTTGCGATTAGCTGAGTAATCGGTACAACTACAAAAGACGATCAAGGATAAAACTTGAAAGTTCAGATTTGTAATTGCAATAATGGACGATACAAATCTTCATTTCGATATGTTTAATGTGTAATATGTTGTAACATAATGTAATCTAATGTATTCAAATCTAATTGTAACAGAAAGAGTGTTGTCTAACTATATTGGAGCTCGTTGGACACCTTTGCTCCAACGAAGGTTAAAAAAGTGCCTATAGTTGATACCACGGTTGGGTAGCCCATTAGTTACAATGTGTGAAACCAATTTCTGGTGTCCCCTGCCTTGACTTTGCTGAAATATTGTTAAAATGCGGCGTGAAAGCATGCCAATTGACTTATTGATACCACTGATGCTTGTCATAGTGAGTTAAAATTTAACGTCGCATCAGCATTATTTCAGCCTTAAAGTGACGATGATGCTGGTTGTAAGAGGCGGCTATACTTGTCGTAAGAGGTGACTAACGGGATTGGTGGTTAGGCTTGCTTACTGGGTTGATGCATGTCATCGTAACCCAATTGCGTAGATCGATGCTCATGATGTCGATCACTGGATTGTCTGGTCCGGACTCGATTATTTACAGACCGCCACCATCCAGCTTGAATATTGCTGACTGCAGCGTTAAAGAACAAACAAGGAATTAATCATTGATACCACTGGCCATCCCAAGTATACGAGGCCATGACATGGTGGTATTTTCACAAGCAAATGCACACATTTGGTTTGCCTCAAATGTCAGATATGTTCACTCATCCCCGAAACCATAAATGCCATTTCCCAGTTTTTTTACTTCTTTTCCACATTCAGTACCAAGTGTACTGAATCCATGGATGTTGCCATGTTCCCCCCAAGGTTTAGCTTTGGGTTTTCTTTGGGTTTTCTTTGTGGTCTTCGTTTCTTTAGCGTCTCCTGTGTGTCCTCCACCAGCTTCTGCACCTGTACCCAATTCCTCGTGACTCTCCTTCAACAAGATCCTCTTCAGCTCTTCTTTACTGTATTTCTTTGGCTTTTCATCTGCCTTAGTTTCTTTCCTTTGCTCCTGTTTAGGCTCCTTTCCAGACTTACGGTGAACTTCCCTCCTGACAATTGAAGCTACTGTACTTTGATAATCGTCTTCTGGATTTTCCCCAATTCCATCCCCTCTTTTATACACCCCTGATCCAAGAGCATTACCATCTCCTTTCACTCCATCTGATTTACTCAAAGGTTTGTAATTGCTGTCCTTATTTTGGGAAAAGGGGTTGTCAGCTGATTCGTCCAGCAAGGAGTTTGAAGAGGACCTTGAAACGGATGTTTGTCCAGGTTGTCCACGTCTATGTGTCTGCGAATCATTTCCAGTTCCATTGCCAAAGCTGTGCGTATTTGAAGCTGTGCTTTTACTTGGGTTTGATTCTTGCGTGTTGCTATTGTCAAACCATTTCCTGGTACCTCTACCACTGGCTCCAGTGGTGCCCTCCCCTCTGCCTTCAGAGCCAGGTCCAGGCCCTCCCTTCTTGCTAGAACCTGAACGTTCAAAGACTTCCCCTCTGACTTTAGAGTCTGGCCCACGCTCAGATCCAGACCCTTCCTCCTTGTCTGAACCTGAACGTTCAACGCCTTCCCCTCTGACTTTAGAGCCAGGCCCAGGCTCAGATCCAGACCCTTTCTCCTTGTTAGAAGCTGAACGTTCAACGCCTTCCCCGCTGACTTTAGAGCCAGGCCCAGGCTCAGATCCAGACCCTTCCTCCTTGACAGAACCTGAACGTTCAACGCCTCCCCCTCTGACTTTAGAGCCAGGCCCATGCTCAGATCCAGACCCTTTCTCCTTGTTAGAAGCTGAACGTTCAACGCCTTCCCCTCTGACTTTAGAGCCAGGCCCAGGCTCAGATCCAGACCCTTTCTCCTTGTTAGAACCTGAACGTTCAACGCCTTCCCCTCTGAATTTAGAACCAGGACCTTGTCCAGACCCACCCTCCTTGTTAGAACCTGAACGTTCAACACCTGTTCCAACGACCTTATGTTGAGGAAGCCTGTCACCGAACTCTACTGTATCTCTTGCTAATCCATAGGTAGATTCTCCAGCGGTTTCCGTTGACATCCCACTTCCCTTCTCACCATCAGATTTCCCACCTGCCTCCCCTGCTCCTCCACCCAGGAATGGTATTGTGAAGTTTGCAATTCCGTGTCCAGGCCTTAACTGGTTCAGAAAATTGGACACAGAAGGTTTCCCAATAGTTAAATCAATGTTACCAGCAGAAAACTGCGGACCAGCTTTAATATTGGTACCTGTGCTTCTTCTCACACCAATAGCTACGTTGCCTGCACTGAAACTTGGTTGAGTTGTTGTATGCCTGTGAGTCCCTTTTCGTCCAAGTCCAAAGGCCTCAACATTGCCAAGATTGACTTCAGCTGCAGAAGCTCCAACAACAACAGAATCAATTTCTCTGTCATCCACCAATGTTGCTCGCATATTCCCTGCATTTATGTTTGCACCTTTCAGATAAGCTAAATTCCTTTTGATCTTCCCCTCTCGCATCACAGCTACGTCAACATTAGCAGCCTTCACGTCAACAGCAGTTGCTTCAATGTGTCCACTTCTTGAATTATCGGTAACCTTGCCAGCTGCAGAGATATTGCCTGCTGTCACTTTGGCTCCTGAGACGACCGTTGAGGACTTTGTCTTCACTTCAGAACTCATAGTAAAGTTTACATTCCCAACTTTGACATCAGCAGCTCGAATAGTTCCATTCTTTAGGGCTTCTTTCATTAACTCCATGTCAAGACCAAGAACACCTTCTATCACTGATACAATCTTGCCCAGGAGAGCAAATACTTTGTAAAACAGACCATTGAATTTTTGGAGAAATTTGGTAATATTTTCTTTTATGAAGGCAATTATCGTCAGAACCGTCTTCAAAAGTTTGCATATTTCATTTCCCGCCTCTTTGATGAAACTGAAAAGCCCACTGTCTTCTCCTGCTTTGATAAGCATGTCAGAGAAACTTGTGATACTCTTCTGTAACTCAGTTGTCATATCATCAACAAGAGTGTTGAATGTAGTGCTGAGGTGTTCGGCCGTTCCTGACATGTCCCTTATCATGACAGACACATCGGACATGTCAGCCACGCGGTTCAACGTTGGGTTCTCGACCACCGAAGTTGCAGATTTTGCTAGTTCCTGTGCTTGATCATTGAGATTTCGAGAGAATCCAGTTACTTCTCCAGTTTTGTCCTTGATCACATTGTTGAGAGCTTCCGTTGCTCCTTTGATATTTTGAGTCATATCACTCCACGTCTCAATGGTGTCCAATCCTGTCTGCACCATGCTGTCGCCAGAATAGATGTAGGGCAGAGTCTTGTTGGCAACTTCATTGATTTTCCTCTGTACGAGTAATAAAGGTTCTGATATGCTCTTCCAAAGACTGTCAACATCCAAACTGAAATGATACACGCCATCCTCCACGTCTTTGGAGAATTTCCAAATTTGATGCGCATCTTCCTTCATCTGCGGACTGACACCCGCAATCTTCTTGTTCAATTCTGTTTCGTCTGCCTCATCCCTTATAGAAGATCGGCGTCTTCTATCTGCTTGTTTGCTACTGCAAGGCTGGTGTTGGTTTGTCTGACTGGTTGCTTCGGGTGTATCACCTCCAGAACTGTCATCTGGGCGTGGAGATGAATCGTGAAATGTCGGCGTTCTTGATCCAAAGGCAGATTTCAGCTTTCGTCCCAATCCTTTGAATGTGTCAACTTTTGTAGAATTTGTCTCTCTTGCATCGGAATCTGGAAACACCAATACAGTGCGTTAACCTGTATATTTATCTATATAAATGAAACAAACTTATGGTAAATATATATTTTGACCAATATGTCCACTTTCTTTCGTAAATGGTCACAATGAAACATTATTGGCATACGTTGGGTTCAGCATTTATGTTAAACCTTATATACGAGCTGAGTCACGAGTTTGTGGCAACATCTTACTTGTAACCTTTACACTATGAAGTGAATGAAATAACACAGCCAAAAGTAGAACATCATCATTTTCATTTAACTATACCCGCAGTTCCTTCCTTCAGACCCAGCTCCTTGAGGATACTCTTTGCATCATATTTAGCCAGTTCCTGTTCGGCCTCCTTTCCATCAAGCAAAGTGCCGTCTTCTTTCACAAATCGTGTCTTGTCTGAAAATATTGAATTCTCGTCAACATATGTCAGTGAGTGAGTGGTGTGTTCCGCCTGAACGGTTACCTGAAATCTGGCCCAAAAAACTAGTGATTGAAATCATGAGCAACGAACCATTCCATGAGGACAAGGTGACATGCAATCAAGCAGGTCACAGAGCCTCGGCACCGGGTGCTCTTTAGTCAATTCTAACGACATTCATAATGTACTGTGGATTATATATCTCCGGCATCACTATTGGTTGGACTAACTGTGTTTCGTCAATGCTTCTCGCCAACTAACATTGACATATCGTCAGTGACAACAGGATTTGACACACAGTCAACTAAGCACAAGATGTTTTCATAATGTACACGGTGACATGTCCCGGGATAACAAATGTACATACACCGATGGTAACGAATAAGGGAACAGTGATAAATATAGGGAAAATAACATTTACTGTCAGTACATTTGAAATCGCCCATACAAATTCAACACGTCAGAATCAAATGTTGAGGTGTGTTTGTGTGCATTGTTTCCAACTCGTTCTGGATTAATGCTGGGAACCCATGACAGCATATAATTTGACTGTGTCTAAAACTAAGTGTCCCCTTATTCATTTCCATCAGTATATTAGCGACCTGTGGTACGGGGTAATTTCTTTTTCGGTATACATGTGAAGAGCTTAGAGCTAAAAGGGGCCAAAATGCACTTTGGCCCTTTTTGCATATTATTGCATAAATAACATCTATTAGTTCTTGTCTACCTGTAGAAAAAAATATTGAATGTTTTCATTGATGCGTTTTTGAAATATAGCTACTTAAAATTCTATAAAAGGGCCAAAGTCAAGTTTCAAAAAGGGCCAGATTTTGGCCCTTTTAGTTCTCATTTCCGTGTGTGGTTGAGACTGGTTGTCTGAGAGAGATTTTGAAAGTTTGGAACCTTATTATCATATTTCAACTATTTCAACAAAGTTGGCTTTAGTTTAAATCATTTAAAAGTACTTCAATAGCATGTGTTTGTACTTTTAGTAGTAGTTTATCAATCTCACGTGTTAAATCCCATGCAAATGCCTGAGGGTCAAAAAGGGCCAAAATACAGACACTGGCCCTTTCCACCCTCACACAAATTAAAAACGTAAGTTTATTCCCTTTTTTGAATGTTTTTTATAACAACATTTATATCTCTGCTGTCAGAATGCGTTAATGTCTAGGAATTTATCGGGAAAAAAAAGTTCATTAACATGCATAATATTATGTGTTTTCATCACTTTTCTCCACATGACATTGGCCCTTATGGCTCTAAGCTCTTCATGTATACAATGTATTAGTGTTTTAACAAGATCGTCCGGACTAAGGGTGTCCGGAGTAACGAGGTGTCACTGTACATGTGCCTATATATGTATAACTAGTTGTTTGGGTATTATTTATGATGCAATTCGTTGTTCATGCACGTAACACGAGTAGATATTCTTGATGTTCTGCGTTTAGAGAGGTGTTAAACACCTGATACCATCAGACAGTTCAATTTGAACTTAAAAGAACCCCAAAGTCACTCATTGAAACATTTTAGTAAACGTTTTTAAATTAATGTGTAATGTGTAGGTATTTCAGCATGCATGAATTAACGTTTTAAAAATATTTCGAAATTCGGATAAAAAGCGTTCCGTGAAATTTGACACGATGAATCCAGAATGCGTGAATGAAAACCGTTCCTTGTGGCAATAGCAGTTTGTGTTTGTTTGTTGTTTAAAGCCACACTGTGCATATATGCGAGCTGTGTAAGGACGGCCAATAAATAATTGTACCCTAGAAATACGATTACGTCATTTTCAAGTCGTATTAAAAGGTAGTAACTCCTTAACTTTTATATATCCAAACACACTTGAACGTACAGAGGAACACGTAGAACTCTCTCTCTCTCTCTCTCTCTTTTCTCTCTCTCTCTCTCTCTCTCACACACACACACACACTCACAAACACCCACCCACCCACCCACACACACACACACACACACACATAAATCACAAACACAAAAACAAACACAAACACAAACTCAAAACACGCACACACAAACAAGCAAACAAACACAAACACACATAAATCACTAACACAAAAACAAACACAAACACAAACTCACACACACACACACACACATAGGTCACTAGCACAAAAACAAACAGAAACTCAAAACACGCACACACAAAAACACACGCAGACAAACAAATAAACAAACACACACAAACACACACACACGCACACGCACACGCACACACACACACACACACACACACAAAAACAAATAAATCACTAACACAAAAACAAACACAAACTCAAAACACGCACACACAAACAAGCAAACATACACACACATAAATCACTAACACAAAAACAAACACAAACTTAAAACACACACACACACACACAGACAAGCAAACACACACACATAAATCACTAACACAAAAACAAACACAAACTTAAAACACACACTCAGACACAAACAAGCAAACACGCACACACTAACACAAAAACAAACACAAACTCAAAACACACACACACACACACAAACACACACACAAAAACAAACACAAACTCAAAACACACCCACACAAAGACCCACCCACACACAAACAAGTAAAGTCTCCAAACACTTGGCCGATTGCCAGTTGAACAGAAACGTGAAACTTATATGCCTGAACTGACAGCAACATAAAACATGCGGTGTCATGTGACCTGCTATATCAACTGAATATGGTTGCATATAGCCACCATTTACAACTGACTGACTGAGTGACACACACACACAAACACGCACACAGACAAACAGACAAACAGACATACCCAGACAAGCAGACAGGCAGAACGGCAGGCACACACAAAGACAGACACACACACACACGCACGCACGCACACTTTACGTCCATCGTTCCTTCATTAGAAAACAAAACCTTATCACAGGAAAATAATCCAATCAATCATGTATCTTCCGCAATATGCTTTCATCAACTACTATTGATCAATCTACACAAAAAGCAGTAGTGTCATGTGACCTGTTACATCTACCCACATAGCTGCTCATAGCCTACATCTGCAAGTGACGTTTGAGGAATAAAAACAACTACTGTTCGAGACATACAGCGTTAACAAATACTTCGCCATTTTGTTTAAATGAAAGACACAATACCAATACTTTAAAATGGAAATATGATGTTGATATTGTTCGGAACTGAGGCTCTCTGGTACGAACCAATTTCTTGAAATGCCTACCTGACATTTTGAAACAGTGGTGCACATCACAAATTGACCATTGGCGATCTCACCAACTTTGTGATACAAGGATCACACCTTCTCACATTTGGGAAGATACACCCAACCTATTCTTAGACCTGAGGTAACAAACTATCACGTGACTGGGGTCGATCTGACTCAATGGAAAACGAAAGTAGATGTTGAATTAAGCCGCTCGGGTACTTCCTCATTATGTGTGCGTGACACGGAACCATTTATAGGATTGAAGAGATTTAAACTTCAATTTTTAAACTGCCAGGACAGACAGGCAGACTAAGACACACGCCCATCTTTCCTTCATTAAAAAACAAACTTCATCTCAGGACATCTTCATTAAAAGAGGAAATAAAGTGAGTGAGTGAGTGCGTGTTTAGGGTTTTACGCTTCTTAAAGCAGAAAAACTGAAAAACCGGTGACATCACCTAACATTTAATCAAATGTCCACGCTGCACACCCTAATATACTTTGGCTTATATCATTAAGGATTTAAATGTCTTTAGGTTGCTGTAGAAAGAAAAATAAACATTCTGATAACGCACATGGGAATTGTTTTATGACTAAAAATACAGACATATTGTGTGTTCAATAAATAGATAAGGTACCTGTAGATTTAACCGAACTAAATTAAATTGGAACCGAACGCGCAGTCATGAGATCATGATATCCTTAAACGTACAATTTTTAAATGAAGCGGCATGCGTTGAGTCCACTGTTTTGAGTGGGTTGTCGGTCTGAATTAGAGACAGGGTGCTTTGTATATATGATGTAGTGTTACAAAATCACACTTTATTAGCATATATGACACAAATTAGGTGTTTCGCACAGCACTTCCTTAACTAACATACGATTACCCCAAAACCAATTCCACCATGGATATGGGAAATACTCGATTCTGATTGGTTAATCAGATGTTTCAATTATGAATAGTGAGTATGGTTTTACGCCGATTTTAGCAATATTCCGGTAATATCACGGGGGACACCAGAAATGGGCGTCACACGTTGTACCCATGTCGGGAATCGAACCCGGGTCTTCGGCGTGACGAGCGAACGCTTTAACCACTAGGCTACCCGACCGCGTCTCACTTAAAAATAACCACCTCTAATTGAAACAGCTGATTTGACGGTTGAATCACCGCGGAAGCTAATGGTTATAGAAAAGCGCTTCTTTCTCAATGATTGTCGGTAAGCAATTCTAAATAATGATTTCTACAGTAATAGGTCTCAACAATAATTAAAGTGTTGACAAAATAGTTCCACAGCTCAAGTACATCTCATGCTGTTGAATAATGCAACGACGGGTGTAAAATACCGATAACATTGACGAGTCAATGCAAGTCTATTATTCTTAGTTCCATACTACAATGGTCCTCCTGTATTTTTCATGAACCATAATGTATTGAAAACATGGCTCTTTGAAATCGACGCCGACTAAAGAGCGACGCTTTGATGCTTCCAGTAATAGAAGCAGTGGAGGTAACAAGTGCTTTACGTTATGCTAGACACAAACGTCTTTCCAACAATCAATTGAACTTGGTTGTGTAATTTCCTATAATTACAATATAAGTACGTGAGGTAGGCTTAAAGTTTTGATGAAATGCAACGGATTTCATGACCACGCGTCTTCATTTCACAACACATACACCCACTCGCAGGAATGAGTGAGTGAGTATGGTTTTACGCCGCTTTTGGCAATATTCCAGCAATATCACGGCGGGGGACACCAGAAATTGGCTTCACACATTGGACCTATGTGGGGAATCGAACTCGCGTGTGCGTGTGCGTGTGTGCGTGAGTGCGTGTGCGTGAGTGTGTGTGTGCGTGCGCGTGTGCGTGTGCACGTGTGCGCGCGAGTGCGTGTGTGTGCATGAGTGCGCGAGTGCGTGTGTGCGCGAGTGCGTGCGCGCGAGTGCGTGAGTGCGTGTGTGTGTGCGCGTGTGCGTGTGTACGTGCGCGCGCGAGTGCGCGAGTGCGTGTGTGTGCGCGAGTGCGTGTGTGCGCGAGTGCGTGCGCGCGAGTGCGTGTGTGCGCGCGAGTGCGTGAGTGTGTGTGCGTGTGTGCGTGAGTGCGCGAGTGCGCGTGTGTGTGTGTGTGTGTGCGTGAGTGCGTGTGTGTGTATTAGTGTTCTACGTGCATGTTCTGTATGTTCAGATGGAAGAGGCCGGTACATGTGTCACACATAACCGGGCGGCGGGGTAGCCAAACAGTTAAGCGCTCGCTCGTCATGACAAAAGTCCGGGTTCGATAGTATTGGCATCCAACTATTGTGTCAAAAGCACAAGTTATGAACATTTACCTGTAACTGGTAAAGATGGTCCACGACAATATGCTTTTATTTAGTATTCAATAGAACCAATTCCCAGTGCGAATCCAAACTATTGATAAGTATTGAATATGATCGTATTTCATAAAACTTAAGCATAAAGCAACGCGAAAGTCAAATGGTTTCTTAAAATAGCATTTATTTAAAATTCGAGTGCATATCGTAAATGGATTAGAATATTCAAATTACACACGAAAGAAATAATAACTGTATGAACATTAGAGGTTGAATCACATATGAATAGCAAACAACGTTTAGTGTTAATTTAACCAAGAAACTAAGTCTAGGAAATGTTAAAACGTCTGTTAAAAAACACCACACAATCATACTGACAAAGAAAACTATGCCTGTCGGACAACAAGCAAAATACACTGGTCAAGAACTCAATAACGCCGCTATGGTAGGTGCACGAAACAGTACAAACGTCGCTCTGAATGTCTACCAGACCTTGCCATCCGTAAGTCAACCCTGTCTTCATTGATACCACAGCATTGTCACTTCAATTAATCAATATTTGCCTTTCTGTACTGAGGAGGCCACAGACCTATACATGATGCATTAATTGTTTGTGAGCAGATGAAGACATTGTTTCTCATATTATGAAACTGCTATTGGTGTTTGGCCAATTTATGTCGGAGTTAACACAAATTGAAAACGAACCATTAGATCCCAAAACACGATGAAATAACGAACATCGTACCACAGGTACAGAAGCTCACCTTTACTCAAAGTTTAAAACTAGGGTTGTGAGGATGTGCAAAATGGCCGTGCTGTGTTAAAAACAAAATGAAATGTTTTTTGCAGCAATATGGTAGAGTACAATATGTTTTTTTGTTATGTAGTAGGTTAAACGATATTTCGATTTCAGTAATTAAGGGCACACATCAAGACATATGGACGACAGAGAATGAGGTGAGGTGAAATGGGGTTTAACGTCGAGTCCAAGATTATTGCACTTATATAGCGACGGGCATGTACGTGTGTGTGTTTGTGTGGCTGCTTGTACTAGTCCGGACTAGCTCACTGAGATACCATGCCGCAGTTTAACATGAATACCCCACTCAGACACAGTATACTGACTCCGAGCCGACCAGTCCTTGTTTTAGCCCCTTAATGCCGAGCGCCAGACAGGATAACAACAAGTACCATCTTTTAACGTCTTTTGGTATGACACGGCCGGGGATCGAACCCCGGACCTTCCGCTCTCCGGGCGGACGCTCTACCACTAGACCACGGTGGCGGTCGACGGAGAATGACCCTTGACATCAGCTCACATTCTGACGATGTCACAGTGAATTAGTTATTTATCTAGATATTTCATTTTGAGTTGACATTGTTAAATTGGGTATTAAACTGATTACAAACATGCTAGCTCTTTCAAACTTAGTTCCATTCATAACAGTTTTTCAAAATGAAAATCTAAAAATAATGTTTGATGAGTTAAATGCTGTATATATTTTCATCCCCAAAATAAAATAAACTGCAGTGGCGGCCATTTTGATTTAAAATAATGGAAAGTATACGTTTTTGAAGACAGACATGTAAAACATATTCTGTGAAAATTATACTGATTTGTTCAGTGCTTTATGAGAAACCGGAGCAAGGTGAGCTAAACAGGTTGTGGTCTTTTTTAAACAGTGGATTTCCCTCACATCTTATAGTCATAGAAGACAGGGAGACTCCAATGACAAGGCAATGTACGTACAGGAAGATAATACCTTAACTCTGCTTACATTTCCACTTGACATCACGTGACGTTTGACTTTTGATGAACCAATTTGACCTATCGGTTCTCTGTTGCCAAATCTGTTAGCGATCGTTCAAATGCGACCGGGGGCGGTCGGGTTGTCTAGTGGTTAAAGTGTTCGCTCGTCACGCCGAAGATATGGGTGCGATCCCCGACATGGATACAATGTGTGAAGCCCATTTTTGGTGTCCCCCGCCGTGATATTGCTGGAATATTGCTAAAAGCGGCGTAAAACCATACTCACTCACTCAACTGCGACCGAGTGAAGCGCGACGGAAGACCGTCGTCGGATGATTGGAAGCAGGGAAATCGACGTCGGCTGCAGAGAGAAGTGTCTCAGAGCATTTATACACTTAAGTATCGGTACCAATAGCATGGTACGTTACCCAGGTCACTTCATACGACTACGTCATCTGCCACACTTTAACATCTCAACAGCAGCAGTAATTCAAGGATAGTGAAGGTTATATGAGACAGCTTGCAACCTCCTTCGTGAGGCAGGTTTCAGAGCCAGACCGCTTGTCAAAGGTATTGACAAAGACAGTGTTAAGTGCGGCGTCAGTGATTTCAAGCAAGCAGAGTGTGGTCTAACCAGCGATGGAGAACTGTTCAGATACGAGTGAATGAGTGAGTATGATTTTACGCCGCTTTTAGCAATATTCCAGCAATATCCCATGTCGGGAATCGGCGTGACGAGCGAACGCTTTAACCACTAGGCTACCCGACCGCCCTTTGTTCAGATACGAGATTTGATGCTGCATCCAGCTGGAAAGCCAGTGTGCACAAACGTCACCATGAACGTCTCGCCGCCAAGAACATTCTGAAGGCCGACACATCTGGCACTGGTAGGATATTGGCGGAAATCACCCACACTGGTAAAACAAAACTGGATAAAACCCCACACCTTCCCTTCTGTCACGACCCATGCTAACGTCATGTTTAGGCAGGGCAATACATACATCACTCGTGACAGCACTATTCCTACAGAACCACAATGTGCACGTCCTCCCGTGGCCCGCTAATTGGCCAGATTTAAACCCGATAAGACCTCTATAGGACGAGTTGGATCGCCGAGTTGGACAACGTCATCTTGAACGATAGTCACTACATGCACCACGGGCCGAATGGGGCAGTGTGTAATCCGTACTCTCATTTTTTCCACGGGAAGTGGGCGGCAGACAGTACTTAACGCTAAAGGTCAAAACACGAGATAATTTAGTTCTCATGACCTTGACCACGGCCATTTGGCGTGTAATGTCTTCATGTTGTCCTCTTTGCAATTCGTCATCACTCATCAAGTGTTCAGATGTGTATTAAATGTGTTTTACTTTCCACACTTTATCACGGCAATAATATCCCAAACTGTTCAAAACACAGGCCATTAACCACTAGCAATCCAAGTCAGGTCATCTTACGTCACACTTTTTCAAATTTATTTATTTATTTATTTATTTATTTATTTATTTAAAAGTCATTGTGCCATGGAGTTATATATGCAGCTGACTTCTTGAATCACTGATAACATGTCATGTCATATTGTACAAGAGGGTCTATATTACTAACGGGATATATAATAAAAAGATATTTTTATGTTTAATAATTTCTATTCAAGCTTTCTATTCAGAAGTGGCGGCGGGCCCGTGATACGAAAAATATAAAATGTGTGGCCTTACTGTGGGTCATGGGGACTTCTAACAGTACCTCAGCACCATACCCACCTCTCCTGTTATTTGTGCTTATCTGTTTTGTTGTGTAAATGCAGCCGACATGCATAGATGCTAGTACGTAATCATTTTCTGATAACAACTTGCCCCTTGTTTCATGTTATTACGCGGAGTTGTGATATACATAAGTGAGTGAGTGAGTGAGTGAGTGAGTGAGTGTGGTTTTACCCGGCTTTTAGCAATATTCCCGCAATATCACGGCGGGGGACATCAGAAATGGGTTTCACGAATTGTACTCATGTGGGGAATCGAGCCCGGACACTAGGCATGTCGAGCGAACTCTTTAACCACTAGGCTACCCCACAACCAGTGGTATACATGAAGACTTATATAAATACTTCTGTCAAAGACTCAGTAAATGGAACAGGTGGCGTGGTGAGTATGGTTTTTCGCCGCTTTTATCATAATTGCAGCCATATCACAGCGGAGACAAAAAAGGGCTTTAAATATGCGGATCAACACAAGGCGAGACACATGGATCTGATGAACTCAGCGGAAATGACGTTGTGACGCAATATGTGGATTAAATACAAATAGATCTGAAACAGATTTACCTAAAAAGATGAATTATTATCTATTAACGGTTTGTTAAATAAAACACCCATTTTAATGCGTCTTTGAAGTTATTTTTCACACAGGAAGAATGTCGGGTACCAACACGGTCCATCATTCCACCCCTCCATAGTTCCCCATTGTTCCATACATTGGTCGTCGGTTCCGTTGTCCGGTTGACCTGCAGCCCAAAGGTTCAGAGTGACCGGCTGACCATCTGGCCAGATCCACTTTCCTTCCTCAACGTCATCACTTCCTCCGATCCAAAATCCTGACCCAAATTCTGCAATAAAAAAACAACAAAACAAAAACATAGCAAAAAACAAAGTGGTCACAGAAATGTACCAGAATATACTAGTGAGTGAGTGAGTATGGTTTTACACAGCTTGTAACAATATTCCAGCAATATCACGGCAGGGGACACCAGAAATGGGCTTCACACATACTAAATGAACAGAACCAAAAGGTAAGGAGTTACATAAAGTCACATAATCACCGAATACTAAAATGAATGTCAAAATTAGTATTCGTCCACTCTCTTTGATTGTTGTTGTCTCACTCGGCAATATTCCAGCTTTATGACGGCGGGTTAAATAATAGAGTCTGATATTATGAGCAACGACCAACTCATTCGAGTAGGTGAGTGAGTCAGTTGGGATTAACGCCGCCTTGAACAGTTCCAGTTTATTCTAGTTATATCTCGGCGTGTCAGCTTAATGTGGGAGAAAAGCCCGAAGTGATGCAGTTCTCAGACGTTTACCACTACGATGAAACTCACGAGCACGTGTATAGTGCTGACAAACCTAGCAACATAAAAGGGGGGAGCCGGGATTCGATCCCGCGCCCCCAAAGGACGTAGCTCTGTTCAGCAAATTGCGGTGCCTCAAACGACTGGTCCATGCTTCGAGTTACGATGACAAACATTCAACGAAGAGCCTGACCACTCGACCTATTTCGTCGCCCGTTACGGCAAGTATAGGTTGCCGGAGTCCTCCTTTAACCGGGGTGTACTCGTTCAAGTAACTGTTGATGGGGTTATATTGAACTATGTCATACTTAGCTTGATGAGCTTGTCTTCATTCGCAGTGTTGGTTGACGCCAGAGCTCCTCCCATGTCCTTGCATCTGATCTAGATCAGTAGATGTATGGGTGATTAATCCCATGCGCCAAGTGAGTGTGATAGTGAGTTTGGTTTAACAGTATTTAAGTCATATGAAGGCGTGTCCGATTGGTGTGGGGGAAAAGCTGGAAGATATGTCGACATTTACCACTTGGATGTACTGACAAACCTAGAAACACAATCACGGGAAATCTACAATTCGAAGCCACGATCATCGGTTTCTGGCACGCATAAGGGACGCAACTCTGCTCACCGAATTGCAGGGCCTTTGACGCACTTGGCCACACATGCCCCTAGCATTAATATGTGTGTGTGTGACTGCTTGTACTAGTCCGGACTGATGCCGATTTATAGTGCTAGCTCACTGAGATACCATGCCGCAGTTTAACACGAATACCCCACTCAGACACAGTATACTGAATCGACCAGTCCTTGTTTTAGCCCCTTAATGTCGAGCGCCAGACAGGGTAACAACAAGTGCCATCTTTTAACGTCTTTTGGTATGACGCGGCCGGGGATCGAACCCCGGACCTTCCGCTCTCCGCGCGGATGCTCTTCCACAAAACCACGGAGGCGGTCCAATTCAATGAGACGCATTAATTAATGCAATACAGATAAAAAAGAAACACTAAATTATTACTCGTGCATCAGCCACGTTTTTCCTATCTGGGCTCTTCCAGTAACAGGACATCCCGAGAACCGTCCATTCGGAGCTGCAGTCTGAAATCAATAATGAGATACTTGTAGTTCTGTAAGCAATAAAGTAGCTTAGAGGACACCCAAAACGGCTCCTGTAAAATCCCTGTCTATGAACGAATGTGTAAACTCTGCGACATGAGCGATGCTTTTCTTTGTCCATTTTCTAAACACCAACGGAAAATATATGTCCCACTTTCATATGCTAAAACCCCAAATATGTTTAAAATTAAGAAAACGTCTCAATTGTAAATCCCGAGTATCCCGGCCAGAGTGTAAATATAGTTCTGTTCTGTTCTGTTCTGTTCTCGTGTGATGATGAAGGCGGGACTTAGAACATTCAGATGAATGTTCACAACATTGGGTGAAGCTTGTTCGTGATGTCCCTCCCTGATATTGATTGAACAAGCACTTTCCGACCTTGTATTTAAAGACCTTCCGATCACAATTTACCGTTTATCAGTACATCAATAGAGGGTCTAATGTTCTGAAATAAAGTTCATCCCTTTTAACTTTTAAGAGAATGAATTATCGATACGCATGTCTCGTTACTAAACAATTAGATAACGTCTTACTCTGGCGCCACAAAAACAATAAGCTGATTAGTTATGTGAAGTTTCCAAATTTCAAGTTAGTGTATTGAAAAAGAGTATGGGTATTCTGTTGAAACCAAACTGTTCTGATGTCGAAACATCTGTCCATGGAATTGCTTAAAAGTGAAATAAAAGAAATATTACGCAGAAAATTGCACATTTCACCAAATGTGAGGTATATGGATTAGATGACACGACGGATTGGGAAACAGTGTCCCAGTTCTGCTCAAGCAAATAAATGCGACAAAGTCTAACTATAATCACCATAAATCTCTACTGGCGACAAAACTCACGTGCATGCACATCGCCATATAATCTTTATCACTCTGAATCTTTATACAAAAATCTAAATATGAATCAGAGGAGATGCATTCACTGGCCCTTATATTCTAGAATAAGTACGTGATTCAGTTGAAGGGAATTAGTTTTTTGACCATCACTGAACGATATATTGAACAGATATAAATTCCCTCAACCAATGACAACATTACCCACTGACTTAACCCATCTTGAAAGACATTCAACAGGTTCATCTACAAGACCCATTTTTGGGCATACACCTTGCCAGAAGAAACCTTTCCTTAACTGAACTTTTTCATGTCCTTTTTAAAGTCTTGTTTTCATAAAATGCGTAACTGTGGTGTACATTCTCTTGATGTCAAGAGGCAACAGTTCAACATCTGAACTGGAAACTGCGTTGATAAGCTGAGGGTATGCCTGTTCTGTGGGATTGGAACAGAGCAATCAAGAGGCCTCAGCACAAAACGTCAGTCCTTGACGAGATCACACACACGTTCTCAGGTGCCAAACTATTCTTAATGCAAGACAATGCTTCTGGTTTACAATCCCAGACAAGGAACCTACCTTCAACAGTCTATTTGGCAGTTGCACAGTCAGAGTCAAGACGTATAATAATTCATACAAGAACAACATCCTGGCTCATTTAACCAACTTAATGAGGAGCTCACACGACCAAATACAATGCATTAATATACGATAGTAAGAACACATTCTGGTCAAATTGTCACTCATTGTTAAGTTAACTTTATTCTTGTCTAGCTTGTATACATATCACTGTTTTTCGCGTCTACCTATAGAATCATGATTTGTTTATTTGTAATATGCAACAGGAAACAAATAAAATATCGATAAAAAATAAAGAATAATATCCCTCCAATGTAGACATCACTGACGATATTGCAATATTTGGGGAAAATGAACAAATAAATACTAGTAATATGAACCTCAACAACCTTAGCAAGTCGACAGACAGAACGGACTCGTATTCAACCCTAGAAAATGGGTTATCAAGATCAAATGCTCTTTGGAATTGTGTTTGTCTCAGAAGTCGTTTACCAAGACCCAGAAAAGGTCAAGGCTTTTCGGGAAATATAAAGCAGTTCCAAAAGATCCTGGCCAAGATTTAACTTAAGCTTTAATTATAGCGATGATCTAATATCGTTCAATAATTGTCATATAGCCAATTCCCTTCCACAGATTTACCCATCTGAACTAGATATAAAGGCGACCACTGAGACTGATTCATCTGTTTCATATTTAGATCTATGCATAAAGATTCGGAGTGGCAAAACACTCTTCACAAGACTGTATGACAAAAGGGATGACTTCAACTTTCCAGTAGTCAACTTTCCCTTCATGTCGAGCAATATTCCAGCAGCTCCAACCTTTGGTATTTACATTTCACAACTTTTGAGATACATTCGAGCATGCTCTTTCTACCAAGATTTCAAAGAGCGTCATACGACTGTTGTTTGGTCAATGTTACAAGATTCAAGCCCTCACTCTCTCAAGTCACTCACTTACTCACCTGAGCGTGCCATGTAATAATCATATCCTTTTGCTGTGATCAGCCCAGCACTGGTTAGGTGACGCTGGAGAGTGACCAGACATGACCTGCTGCCAGGGTTGTAGAAGAAGGAAGCACATTCATCTACACCAGTGCAAGCTACGGCACAGTCAAACTGATTCATCACTTCAAAGATGTTTCCATCCGGTTCGATGAAATGACTGAACATAAGGATGAACATTTGTTCCAGCATCATGTTTGAGCAGTTCTGTGCGGACAACCCGTTATATCAGTCTTGGATGGCAAAGACAGAACAACGTGTAACCTCCTCTGTTGTTTAGACTCGTCTGTGGCGTGTGTTGGAGAAATTGTTACATTATTGCCACCTGCTAGTGACAGCACTAAGTCACCAGCCTCTTACCGTTATCATAACAGGTGCATGATTGTTTTTCTGAATCAGCCTATTGTGTCATATGTCAGACATTGATGCATGGTTGACTGTTTGCACTCACATGTTAACCTTTTGTTAAAAACACGTGCCTGACTATTAGCCTGTTTGTTTCACCAAGTACATGTCTTAACGTATAGTCAGCATCTGATAAAGAAACATCAATGACTTCTATTCGTGCATTTATTCTGCATAGAATAAACTTTACCTGGGATTTAGGGTACATTTAGCCGATGTTCTTTCTTTCTCTGGCGTTGATGCTTTGTGTTTGAAACGCCATATAGATGATTTAATGTACCAACGGTCCGCGCCATTGTATCATGCTTCTTTGTTATATCTAACTACGAAACCTTACCATAGCAACGCAGCACCTTACCTGTGCCAAGGGGTTTCACCAAAGATCTAAACGTCTACAACACCTAAAACAACGTCTAAAACAGTTGTCATGAGGAATGTAACTGAAACACGCACTTTTCTGACATTTAACAGTGAGTCTTGCGCCATAATCAGTCATGCCACTGTAGCGGCCATACAATTTCCGAGACCCGTGATGGGATTCGAACCACGGACCTTCTGATCAGAGGTCCGACGCCTTGTCCACATGACCAAAGAGGTTGGACGCCTTGTCCACATGACCAAAGAGGTTAACCCCGTCAGCAAGCTGACAAGGTAATGATGTCATCTGTCGGATGACTCCACGTCCTGCCACACCACGAAAGATTAACTTAAGTAATATTAAAGAACCGAGTGGTCTTTAACTTCTTTGAGTAGTATTGGTTTAGGTTGGGTTTATTATTGGGTTTATAATGCAACTCGATTATTTACAGGCCGTCATGATATAGCTTACATATTGCGACATTCAAAGTCAAAGTCAACAATCAACGTCAGACCTATGTTTTTACACTCTCTTTCTCACTGGCACTTAATTTCTTAATGTACACTGAGTGAGTGTGAGTGGCGAGTGATACCGCTTGACCAAGACACTTACCCTCTTCGCGGACACCTGGCGTTATCATTAGTATTAGTATAATTCTCCACAGGGTAAAACCTGTAAATGCATTAACCAAAATAACAAACAGCATATACTGTCTTTTAGAAAAGCGTAGAATGTTAAGGTGGGAGTCAACAACAAATTCCAATCACAGAAAATGTACTCATTATATGTACAAACAAAAGTTCATATCATATATACATTTACATAAACAAGAAAATGATAAAAGTTACACGAAACAGTACACAAAAATGGACGGACAATTTAATGCCTAACTGGCATATTCGAGAACAGCCCTGACTGACGGAGGTAATAATGTAACTTGTCAAGCAGTATTTTCAGTGTGTCCAGAGTATTTACTGTTTCACATCATTATCGACATTGTCTGACAGCCCTGGCTTTTACCCCCAGGTACTTTTGCCCTACACTCGTCTGACTGTGCACTGTTTACGGTGATTAACAAATAACATGAATTAGCTGTTTTTCATGATTGGTTTGAGATAAAGAGTTGATCTGGACGGTATTTTGCAAATGAGCATCTGCGTCCTCTCATGAAAAGATTGTACACGCGACATCCATTAGATGATGGGCTGCGTCTTAAGCTAATTGTGGAGTTGAACAACAAACTTCGATCTCGATAGAATGCTTATTAGAATTTTATGATTTCGAACAAAAAACTTTTCGGCGTTTATTGACATGATTCCACTGGGGACTCCGTGTATTGTTTGGGATGCTTCGGGTATGTTAAAAAGGATGTTTATAATTAAGGAAGTTGATTATGATTATAATTATGCATTCCCATTTGTTTTTGTAAACTTCATACTGATATGGACTTGGTCTGTCGTAATGCCTGATTGAATGTAGCCATCCAACTACTGGAACCAAAAATACTACTACTACTACTACTACTACTACTACTACTACTACTACTACTACTACTACTGCTGCTGCTGCTACTACCACTACCACTACCACCACTACTACTACTACTACTACTACTACTACTACTACTACTACTACTACCACTACCAATACTGCTGCTGCTACTACCACTACCACTACCACTACTACCACTATCACTACAACTACTACTACCACTACCACTACTACTACACCTACCACCACTATTAGTACTACTACTACTGCTGCTGCTCCTACTACCACTACCACTACCACCACTACTACTACAACTACTACTACCACTACTACTACTTCTACAACTACCACTATCACTACTACTACTACCACTACTATTACCACTACTACAACTACCACTACCACTACTACTACTATTACTACAACTACCACTGCTATTACTGCTACTACTACTGCTTCCACCGCGACTACCACTACTACTACCACCGCTACCACTACTACTACTGCATCCACTACTACTACACCTACCACAACTACTACTACTGCTTCCGCTTCCACTACCACTACTACCGCTACCACTACTACTACACCTACCACAACTTCTACTACTGCTTCCACTACTACTACCACTAACACTACTGCTGCCACCCCTACCACAACTACTACCAGTACTACTGCTATCACAACCACTGCTACTACAACTGCTACCACTAGTACTTCTACTTCTATTACTACTACTACTACTACTACTACTACTACTACTACTACTGCTGCTGCTACTACTACTGCTACTATTACTACCACTACTACTGCCATCACTACTGTTACTACTGCTTCCACTACTTCTACCACTACCATTACTACTGCTGCTACCACTATTACTAACACCACTACTACTACTGCTACCACTACTACTGCCACTACTTTTGCTACAACTACTACTACTACTACTACTACTACTACTACTACTACCACTACTACTGTTACTACTGCTTCCACTACTTCTACCACTACCACTACTACTGCTACCACTTTTACTACTACTACTACTACTACTACTATTACTACTACTACTAATACCACTACCACTACCACTACTTCTACTTCTACTACTACTTCTACTTCTACCTCTACCAATACCAACACTTCAACTTCAACCACGACCACTACTACTACCACTACCAATACTTCTACTTCTACCACTTACACTTCCAATACCTCAATTTCCACCACGACCACGACCACTACCACTACCACTACTTCAACTACTGCTGGTACCACTATTACTAAAACAACTACTACTACTGCTACCACTGCCATTACTACTGCCACTACTTTTGCTGCTACTACTACGACAACGACGACCACCGTCACTGCGGAGACGTTAGGTGGACGGTCGCCATCATTCTGTCGCTTGTCGTAAACTTGAAAAAGATCAAATGTTCCCAAAAATACTTGAAAGTCCATTTGCCTCAGGTTTTACAATACACACTGCTTAAACCAGTGAGTGAGTGAGTTATAATTTAACATTACAAAGAGATGACGAAAGAGAACATATTATTCATTAAACAAGGCTCTGTAGCTCACCTGAAATAAAAATAAATAATGTGGCCATGTTTAGAATCGGATCAGAATTCTGTGAGTACGTTTGGGAGTTATTTTGGAGCCAGGTAGTTGCAGAGCAGATGTCGCCATTGTAAAGGTTTACAAACAGCGGACGGACAACCTGACGAACTACGGATAATGCGCCACGACATATGCTCACCTGACTTTAAGTGAGGTGATCTAAAAGATGTAACCAATACATCAACACTTACTAGGAATTGAAAGCGTCAAACACTAAAGAATAGCGAAATAGCACTTCATAATAACAATGTGGCCATGTTTAGAATCGGATCAGAATTCTGTGAGTACGTTTTAGAGACACCATAGCTGGGATACGTCCTTACAAAGTTTCGGGGGGCACGGATGGCCCAGTCTTCTAAAGCGCCGCGATTCGCTGTGCAGAGTTGCGTCCCTTGGGCACGCCAGAAACCTATGATTGTGGGTTCGAATCCCGGTTCGCCCCGATTATGTTTCTAGGTTTGTCAGCACCATACCCGTGCTCGTGGGTTTCACCGAAGTGGTAAACGTCTGAGACCTGCATCACTTGGGGCTTTCCTCCCACATTAACCTGACACGCCGTGATATAACTGGAATACTGTTAAAAGCGGAGTTTAACCCAACTCACTCACTCCAAAGTTTCATCTTAAGTGTCAGAGGAGATTTCGCAATTGTAAAAAGTAACAACGGACGGACAACCAGACGGACGATGAATAATGCGCCATGACATAAGCTCACCTGATTTTCAGTCAGGTGATCTAAAATATGTCGCCAATTACTAAACATTTACGAGGGATTCAAAACGCCAAACGCCAAAGAATAAGCCGTCTCGAATACCTGCCGAAACATATTCCTTAAGGCGTAGAAACAAATAATAGATGACCTGTACATGAATGGATCACTGAAAATCAGTGATAACGCCAGCTGTAGGGAAAGCATGTCCTGCTCTATCGGTAGAAACGGCCACTCACACACTTATCATTTGATATGAATTTTGTTTGTCCAAAAAATGAGTACATTTTCTGTGATAAGAGATTGTTTACATGTTCCACCTTAAGATTGTTTGCGCTTTTCAAGAAGACGGTATATGCTGGGTTTTTTTGGTCAGTGTATTTACAGATCTTACTCTGCAGAGAATTAGATTGATGACAATATTATGAATGGAACACTGAAAACCACCGATAACGCCAGGTGTTCGCGAAAAGGGTAAGTATGTCTTGGTCTGACAGAAGCACTCGCCACTCACACAATTTTCATTTAACACACATGTGCCAGTAAGTAATGAGGTGAAAAAGGTCCGTGTAATAGCATGGGGTAACATCAGCATCGTGGTGACAAGCGAAGTGTAATCCAAAGCAAATCTCTCTGAATGTCAACCAACCCATTCTGGAATGACTTGACGAGGCCTTTGGTGGTGAAACCTTGACTGAAAACCTCAATTGTAAGCAAAATGTAACCTTCTGTGAAATTTTAATAAAATGTACATGTTCTAAAGTTCCTAAGCAGTTGAGGAATGTAGCGGAGGTGATTGTGTATTGCCAGAAGTGCTATATTGCCCAAGACATGCTATATTGTCAACGTTTTAGTCAAAGTTAAGTATGTGCGCTCTGTCAGCAATATGATTTGGTTTTTGTTTGTGTGTTGTTTAATGCCTCACTCTGCAATATTATAGCTGTATGACGGCGGTCTGTAAATAAGCGAGTCTGGACCAGACAATCCAGTGATTTATATCATAAGCATCGATCAACGCAATTGGAATCGATGACATGAATCAACCAAGTCAGCGAGCCTGACCACTCGATCCCGTAAGTCGCCGCTTACGACAAGCATGCGTGACTGAAGACCTATTCTAACCCAGATCTTCACGGGTTCAGCAATATGAAGGTAGCCATATCTGGACAGGGGAAAAGCCCCCTTAACAAGCAAAGAAACTACCATTCTGAACATTCAAAGCTGGCAGGCATAAAAGTAATCAACCAACGAGTCAAGTAATAATAAAAGCCCATCTTAAAATCAACTTCAAACATTTGTTAACATGCGTAGTTCTTTGATGGGGATTCACTTTGACAGTAAACGTTAGTTTTCGTGGATTATTATGACATGTATACATAACTTACAATCATTTCGTGTTCATCTGAAATTACCTCTTCAGAATTAACGTTTGCATAAAACTCGCATAAGAAAGGGGACAGTACCGCACACCATTTGTCTCCAAGCTGCTAAATGGTTGTGTTGTGTTTTATTTTATTTATCTGCTTATTTCTATTATCAATGCTATATTTTCGTGGAATTATTATATAAAACTTCAATGCAAGAACATATAAGATTCTTGATTATCCACCGAAACAGATTCCATTTGGCAAAGGGCAAAATACATGAAAATTATATGAATGGACCATTGAGAGTGAGTGATGACACCAGGTGTTCGCGAAGTACTCCATACACAAATGTGGCCTTAGAATATTGGATGCTGCCATGTCATGGTATCCCAACTACGTAGATCGATACTCATGATGTCAATCACTGGATTGTCAGTTCCAGACTCGGTTACAGACGTATAGCTGGAATATTGCTGAGTGCAGAGTTAAACAACAAACAAACAAAGAATAAATTTGAAAGCAGTGAAACCAATACCATTATTTTCTGCTTTTCTTTTTGTTGTCTCTGTTCAATATCTAAAGTTTGGTCTTTTTATTGACAGTGACTTAAACGGATGAAATACTCCAGTGATCTGTGCATAGACTGATTACCCGACTTAAATCGCGAATGACCATTCGTACCCACTCGTATGATTCCGTAACCTATTCGGCTTGTCCCGGAATGGCAAGCGTTGGTCACGAATGGCGTATGACGTACGAGCAAGCACCGTTTAAAAATGCAACCGAAATAGAATGTAGTCAGCGTAATAAATTGGTGCACGCTGTTACTTAGCCAATATCAGTACTTATCTATTTTAAGTTCAATGTTTGCAAATTCTGTCTCAATGTGATATTGATTTCAGTATTTACAATTGGAGCAAACGACGTGAAATATTTCGCGTCGTTGCTTTTGCTTCTTATTTGAAAGAAACCAAAATGTCGCCAACCATTCTACAAATTTAAGTGAGTGAGTGAGTACGTATGGTTTTTACGCCGCTTCTGGCAATATTCCAACAATATCACGACGGGGGACACCACAAATGGGTTTCACACATTTCACCCATGTCGGGAATCGAACCCGGGTCTTCGGCGTGACGAGCGAACGCTTTAACCACAAGGCTACCCGACCGCCCCTCTGCAAATTTAAACGAACCACAGTATATTGTACTTTACTGCCTTCAAAGCGTGGAAGAAGACACTTCAGAGCAGACATCAACACATTTCTTCACATTGACTGTGGATCAATGCAATTGCGATGGAAATAGAAAAACACGATGCTGTATAGATTATATGGGAACCGTGACGTGCAAACTTACTGAACCATTTCCCTTGAGACATTTTTCTATGCTGATGTCAACAATTCCTTCATTTTAAATTAGCGTTTTCGGCTAGAGAACAAAATCGTAGATCTGGTTTGCCTTCGTGGTTGAAGCCTTCGTTCTTCAGTTGTATGGTAGTATATTCTATTGTTGAACAGTAATTGTAATTGTTTCTGCTGAGATCCGGAAGACGCGCATTGCTCTGTGTTTGGGAGTGATTAGTCGTCAGGAATGAACTACTTAATGTAAGCAGCCGTCAGGAAATTACTATATTTAGATGCTAGTAAGTGAGTGAGTTGGATTTTAACGCCACTTTCAACAGTATTCCAGGCATATCACGGCGTGTCAGCTTAATGTGGGAGGAAAGTGATGCAGGTCTCAGACGTTTACCACTTCGGTGAAACCCACGAGCACGGGTATGGTGCTGACAAACCTAGAAACATAATCGGGGCGAACCGGGATTCGAACCTCTAATCATAGGTTTCTGGCGTGCCCAAGGGACGCAACTCTGCACAGCGAATCGCGGCGCCTTAGACGACTGGGCCACCCTTGCCCCCTTTAGATGCTAGTGTAAACTTCCGGTAGGATGTGGACTCCTGTAGAATATTCTGTAATGTTCTAGTGCCGCTATACTGGTGAAGGCACTGTGAAGAAATTTCCAGTAGCATGTTAGGCTGTATTTATAGTGGGACAAGAAGGTGCCTCTCTCATCTCTCACACATTTCATCTGAGAACACATCAAGGCCAGCTTTCGTGTGAAGATCACCCCGGAATCCCTGCTAAACCTGGTTAATTTTGTAATGCAAATTGTTAATTGTATACCATTTGCTGCTTGTTTGTTGATTTCACACCAAGTTCTTTTACGTACAGATTTCTGGGTTAACATATTGTTTCAGTTTGGAAACACTTCACGCGGAGGACCTAAAGTACTGTTGAAAATAGAAACAACTGAGTTCTGGCCCTCACTTTGGATTATTGAAAGTGAGAATGATCTGTAGCAGATAACAAAATAAGAACTTTCTGGGGCTTTTATTTACTCATTGAGCCAAGCATCTGTCACAGAATAGTATTAACACATGTACGACCCAGCGACACGAAAAATGAAACAGATCTAATGTGTTGTGACAGATCCCTGTCGCAAACTGATGTACATTGTGTAACGCTCTGTAACGCTCTTTTGAATTACGCCTGACAGGTGTGAAAATGCCTCAAAATACAATAGAATTTATGGATAAATTGGTGCAATTTATAACAATATATTATTATGTTCTTCATGGTTTTCTCTTTCCATCATCTAATTAACAATGTTATACCTTGTTTCAATATGTTCTTTTGGCCTTTAGGATCAACACCGCAGACAAATTTGGGCTTTCCTCCCCCATCTCTCTCTCTCTCTCTCTCTCTCTCTCTCCCTATCTCTCTCTCTCTCTCTCTCTCTCTCTCTGTGTCCTTAACGCTAAGATAAAAAAAGCGAAACAGTACGTGTTAATTGCCAATTTTTATTTTAAGCTTTAGTAGATATGATACAAATTTCCAATTTCATAGATTAAATTATTGAAATTTTAACCCTAAATATAATATAATAGTCCTAAAAAGAAAGGTGCAAGTAATAAAGTATAACTACGTTTTAAACAAAGAACTTGATTGAAAATACACGTTGTTTAGACTGCAAAGAGGTGATTGTCTCAAATAATATATACAATAGAATTCATGGCGGAAAAGAGTGACTGATAACAACTGAATAACACATTGATTCATAAAAAAATTAATACTTTTAGATGTAAGACCCTCGCCTCGCAGCAATAAAACACGGGTATGGATAAACGTGTTCAGTTCCCGCGAATAGGAAAATGACAACAATTATATTAATATAAGCTTTTGAAAGTAAACCCAAGTCATGTCATGCAAGTATGTGAGTGATTACGGTTTTGCGCGCTTTTCAACACTGTTCCAGCAATATCACGAAGAGGGACACCATAAATGGGCTTCTCGTATTGTACGCATGAGGAGAATCAAACCCGGGTCTTAAGCGTGACGAGCGAACGCTTCAACCACAAGGCTACCACACCGCCCCATACCATGCAAGTACCTTTACTGCTTCGATATAGTGACGTTACAACTATTATACGACTTTATCTTCCATTTGACGTACTTCTACAATGAAAAGGAAAATCAACGCGGCCGATCCCTAGGTTATATAATCTTAATATACGCTCATTTTGAATAAATTTTTCACGTAGTAATGAAAGAGGAAACCGTCATTGTCCATCGTTCCATTCCTCTTAATATTATATCCAAAGATGTTGTTGTTCATCGCTCTCGAGGCGGACATTGGTTGATGACGATTAGCATTCGTCACCACTCGCCCCTTTCCGTAACTTGTCTCGGAATAACACGAGTTGGTCACGAATGCGTTCATTAGCAGACGACAGAAAACAAACTCAGAGTTATTCCCCCTAGATCTTTTTCATTCGGAAAATATCGTTAATATCCGGAGAATAGCGTCTTATATCAATTATTTGAGAAACAAGTGCGCGGTTGGTATGTTTTATATGTAATGCCATGCGTTCGGCAATTCGGGCGGGGAATTACAAATGTAACTTACATGTTACTGGGGTATATTGGAAATAATAGAATTGCTCTCAACCAATCAGAGTCCTGCATTCAACTGTTAGGTATGATTAAATGTTATGCTACTTTATGCTGAAAATTATTTTTCACATAGAAACGACAGAGGAAACCAACAGGGTCCATCGTTCCACCCCTCCTTATGTCCCCATTGTTCCATACAGTGGTCGCTGGATCCGTTGTCCGGTTGACCCTCGGCCCAATAGTTCAGAGTGACCGGCTGACCATCTGGCCAGATCCACTTCCCTTCCTCCACTTCATCACTACCTCCGATCCAAAATCCTGATCCAAATTCTGCGAGAAATTAAGTAACGTTACAGAATGTCACAATTATTTGTTTGTATATAGCGATTTTGTTTAACGCTGCAATATGACGGCGGGCTGTAAATTTTGTTTGTTTGTTTGTTGTTTAACGCCGCAATCAGCAATATTCCAACTATATGACGGCGGTCTGTAAATACTCGAGTCTGGACCAGACAACCCAGTGACTGACATCATGAGCATCGATCCCTGTAATTGGGACCGATGACATGCATCAACAAAGTCAGCGAGCCCGTTAGTCGTCTCTTACGACAAGCATAGTCGCCTGTTAATAATGAAGTCTGGACCAGACAATCCAGGTATAGGGCTCATACGATCCACGCATTCGGGGTACGAAGACAGGCAATCAACCGTGTCATCGAATGCAAACGAAGTCACTTACAACGGAAGCCCCACTGAAAGCAAGGTGAAATGTTGAAATTTCAAGTCAAGGTTTTCTTTGTTGTTTAACGCCGTACTTAGCATTGTTCCAGTTATATGACGGCGGTCTGTAAATAATCGAGTCTGGGCCAGACAATCCAGTGATTGACATCATGAGCATCGATCTACGCAATTGGGATACCATGACATGCATCAACAAAGTCAGCGAGCCTGACCACCCACTCCCGTTAGTCGCCTCTTACGACAAGCATGGTCGACTTTTAAGGTGAGGTGAGGTGAAATTGGGTTTAACGTCGCGTCCAAGATTATTGCACTTATATAGCGACGTGCATGCACGTGTGTGTGTGTGGCTGCTTGTACTAGTCCGGACTGATGCCGATTTATAGTGCTAGCACACTGAGATACCATGCCGCAGTTTAACATGAATACCCCACTCAGACACAGTATACTGACTCTGGGCCGACCAGTCCTTGTTTTAGCCCCTTAATGCCGAGCGCCAGACAGGATAACAACAAGTACCATCTTTTAACGTCTTTTGGTATGACGCGGTCGGGGATCGAACCCCGGACTTTCCGCTCTCCGGGCGGACGCTCTACCACTAGGCCACGGAGGCGGTCTTCGACTTTTACGGCACGCATGGGTTGCTGAGCCCGGGTCTTCACGGGTCGAAATTTCAAGGTACTATGTTCTAATTTCAAATGCAATAACAGCGTTGCCACAAGTTATTGGGACCAAATCCACCATGATAATGACGCTGGAGATATAAGTTTGAGTCTCCTTTCATGGCGACACATGTAGAGATGACGTCATCACATATGACATGGTACACATTACAGATATTGTTACAGCATTGAATGTATTGTCTTGAAAATTCAACTTAATGTAATGGAAATTGTCGACATAGTATCTTGAATTTTCAACAGAGAGTATTGAAGTTTCAACAACACATCGAGAGTATCTTGAACTTTCAAACTAATATCTTGTTTTATATGTTTTTAAAATAATATCTTGAAGTTTCAAGAAAGGAAAACAATGATATGACCCTTGTGGGTTGCCGTAGGCAGACTTACCTTTCTTGATGAGTCTGTTTTCATTTGGTGTATTGGTAGATGCCATGAGTCCGCCCTTATTAATACATGTCACCTGGAGAAATGACGATATGTCAGTTGGGACCTACTTAAACTGAGTTCCATCTTTTGATTATATTGCCAATCTTCGCAAAACTGCCATATAAACGTCTGAATATGCACGATCCATGTCTAGATAGAGAGGTCCCGAAACGATTGGTGATATGATAGACGACTAACCGTCACTTGTAATGCTTGGAGTCATATTCCAGCCGGGAGTGATATGTTTGTTTGTTGTTTAACGCTGCACTCAGCAATATTCCAGCTATATGACGGCGGTCTGTAAATAATCGAGTCTGGACCAGATCATCCAGTGACTGACATGAACATCGATCCACACAATTGGGATACGATAACATGCATCAACCAAGTCAACGAGCCTGACCACCCGAACCCGTGAAGACAAGGATTGTCGCCATTTAGGGCAAACATGGGTTGCTGAAGACCTATTCTTCCCCGAATCTTCACGGGTCCCAACAGTGAATGAATGCAAGCCCAACTAATATAATTCAGTAGAGGGGCGGTCGGGTAGCCTAGTGGTTAAAGCGTTCGCTCGTCACGCCGAAGACCCGGGTTCGATTCCCGACATGGGTTAAATGCGTGAAGCCCATTTGTGGTGTCCCCCGCCGTGATATTGCTGGAATATTGCTAAAAGCGGCGTAAAACTATACTCACTAATTCAGTAGATATGAGATACTTATTTTAAATTCCGGCGTAAAAGAGTAGTTTACAATAAATGTCATACAAATTTATATGTCATCATTAGATAATATTCAAAATAGAAAACTCATACCCGAGTTGAACATTGTTTACATTAGGGCATTCACACATATTTACTGTCAGTGTTTAAAAAATGCATTCAATATTACAACATGAGAAATGTCAGCACGCTTCTCTTGTCAGGACGAACTGAGAGTCATCAGCATCTTCGTGCCAGTAGCGTTGTTTCTCTGAGCCTAGACAGGATTTTATTTCTTCATCTCTTGAGGTACAAGGGGCAAGGGTGGCCCAGTCGTCTAAGGCGCCGCGATTCGCTGTGCAGAGTTGCGTCCCTTGGGCACGCCAGAAACCTATGATTGTGGGTTCGAATCCCGGTTCGCCCCGATTATGTTTCTAGGTTTGTCAGCACCATACCTGTGCTCGTTGGTTTCACCGAAGTGGTAAACGTCTGAGACCTGCATCACTTCGGGCTTTCCTCCCACATTAAGCTGACACGCCGTGATATGACTGGAATACTGTTAAAAGCGGCGTTAAACCCAACTCACTCACTCACTCTTGAGGTACAATTAATCATCCTCTTGCTAGGACAGATTAATTTGTATTTTGGAAAGGGTTTTGTCGCTTGTATTCACGTGCTCTTTGGGTATGTGATAAATAAAACTAGTGTGAGATTCATGTAACTTTCGGGGTATTTTTGTTTTTATGGTTTTGTTTTTGCGTTCTGACATGAAAGCGGTTTATTCGCGTGGTAATTTAAACCAGTTCGTGTGAAAAGAACCCCCAACAATATGCACATTGTGAAACCATCACTGAATCACGTACTCTGAATCAACTATGCGTTTCATTTTTTGAGTAGTGTACACACGTGTAGCGTTTTACTGCATCGTTGCACATATAATCGCATATCGATGGACTGAGCGTTCAGTGTATGGTTACAAGGTGAAAAACGAGCATATTACCCTTGCTTGTCCAACATTTTGTGCTACTGGACTCTTCCAGTAGCAGGACATCCCGAATACAGCCCATTCTTGGTCGCAGTCTGAAAAGAAACAGCCAGAGGTTCATTATCTGATGCCATTCACTGATCCAACACACTATCACAGTATCGCGTTTATTGCATAGCGGTAACATGAGTTGCTATTGAAGCAAAATACTTTGAAGAAACATGGAAAAAATAATGTAAAGTCCTTTTTTACTGAACCATGACTTCAAAATGCGGCGTGAACAAATAAGGAATTTCATTGGCTCCTAAAGTCACCGAACATGTATGTTGCTGCAGCGAGTGAGTGAGTGAGTGAGTGAGTGAGTATGGTTTTACGCCGCTTTTAGAAATATTCCAGCAATTTAACGGCGGGGGACACCAGAAATGGGTTTCACACATTGTACCCATGTCGGGAATCGAACCCGGGACTTCGGTGTGGTGAGCGAACGCTTTAGCCACTGGGCTACTCGACCGCCCCTAGTTAGAGGTTGATCCAGTGCAGCAATTTTCACACAGCGTTCGTTTTTTCAGAACCTATATAAATGTGCGTAAGGATAATAACGGTATCCGTGGGGTTAGGTATCAAACAAACCAAGCTCTTGTTTTATGGTATTAGAAGTTTCAACCCAAAGTTGGTGTATTTGGATATGTATTCTTACAAATCTGTCACGAGAATGAAAACTGACCTGAGCGTGCCATGTAGTACTTGTAGCCAGCTGCTGCAACCAGCCCGGCACTGGTGAAGTGTCGCTGGAGAGTGACCAGACAAGACCTGCTGTCGGGGTTGTAGAAGAAGGAAGAACAGTCCTCCACACCAGTGCAAGCCGCAGCACAGCTTAACTGACTCCTGACCAGAACAATGTTCCCAGTTGGTTCCAGAAAATTAGAGAACATAAGCGCGAACATCTGTTCCACTAACATGTTTAATCAGTGGTTATCATAACATGAACCACGAGAAATGAGCGGCCAGGAGCACTGCTGCATCTTCCGCGTCTATACTGACGGCGAATGTTGTATTAATTAATCAGGAGACCTTTATCTAAACGTCAGTGGCGCGTAACACCGCATGTTAATTTGATCCGATGTTGTATATTCTGATCCCACTGAATTTAAGGTACTTACCAATGATCGATTTGTTTGTTAAATGTGACTACAAAGGCTGCTGAATAATACACCTCTCACGCCAAGCATTCGTCTGACCTATGAAGAGATGAACCGTTGCGAAGAAACAATTAATTAGCCGCATCTCATGTTTTATGTATCATGTTAAAATATGTTTACAATATACTGACTGCAATTAAAACATGGGGAATGGCAGTATAGGTGACTGTTCATGCTTTATGAACCATTTGTCCTTGGGTTGATGATTACCTTGATGAGTGAGTATGGTTTTACGCCGCTTTAAGCAATATTCCAACAATACCCCGGGGGACACCAGAAATGGACTTCACACATTGTACCCATGTGGCGGAATCGGACCCGGGTCTTCGGCGTGACGAGCGAACGCTTTAACCACTAGGCTACCCGACCGCCACAATGTCTCGAATAAGAAATATAGTCATGTGTTTATGAAGTCAATAAATCCATAATTATAGGTCTCAAGTTGAGCCAAGTGACATACCATGTTTCTTAATGGTAAAGTTCGAAATTAAAACCTGATCCTGGTTTTGACCTCCTCGCTATTTGCCTACTGGGACATCCGGGTAGTTACTCCCCTCCCCAACAGTCTCTCAGTGTTAGGCGCCGTCGGTCTTCACTGCCAGTGCCAACTTGCAATCTTGTCTCAACACTCGTGTCGCCCTTCCTACCTGGAGTTTCTTCCCTTCACGGCCAGCTTCCACCTCCTAAAGCAGGTAAACTTTCGGCCCTTACACATAAAGCAGCCCCGGGTTCATCCTGCACATACTTTAATAGACGTGGTGAACTGTTGCCACCTCCGATGTTCATGAGACTCGAGGTGTTTCGACAAGCGTGTCGGGACAGTCCATTTTCATCACTCGCTCTGGTATCAGATGAACTATGATCAAGAAGGGTAGAATCAGTTCCAGATTTACCAGTGACCCGTTCCCATCCTTGTAATTGCTGAACTGCAATCCTGTATCACTGTCCTGGTTACTAACGGCATCTTTTACGATTAACTTTCCACAACGGAAAGATGTGGGAGGAAATTTATCCCGCCTCTCTGCCGTGAGTTCTTCAACTTAGTCTACTGTCTTCTCGTAAAGTCAGCTTCTATATTACCTTCAAAAAGACTTGCCAACAGAAACTAGACATGGATCATCTGGATGAAGAAACTTTGGCGAATTGGAATGAGCTCGTAAAATATCTCCAGATGACCATGATCTTGATGGGGGGCGATTAATGGAGGCGTCTGCAGACTCATCCTCATCTTAAGGGATGCCAAAGAAGCGTAGACTGTTCCATCTGTTATCAACCTCTCAAGACCGCCACTTGTCTAACAAAAGAGCAATTATGTCAGTGCTATATATAAAAAACCAAGTCATTCACTTCATCAGTGTCAAATCTCAGAATATGCTTGCCCTTTTCGCGAGCACCTGGTGTCATCTCTGTGTACCATTGGCATGGTTTTCCTCGCTGTTTTGCCGTTTCCCCGGTGGAATCTGTTTCGGCATATGATCGAGACTGGGTGTTCTCTGGCATTGACATTTTATGCTTTCTCTCTAATTTAACGTGATCACCATTTTCAGGTGCGTGACTGCTCCCGACTGTTCTTGAAATAGTTTATATGAACGACAATACTGTTTCCGCAATCATAAGAAATCTTACTAAAAGCCCATTGTACAATTACGATTGCAACGTAAGAATGTGTTCATTATTCACTATCAAAACGTGATGATACCAGCTGAGCGTATCCTGCCCGTGTGATGGCACCCGTCACAAACACACGCAAGGGCAAGTCAAGTGTTCACACGAAAACAATACAGGTACCTCATGGATACTAGTACATACGGCAAGTAGGGGTTGCTTAAGGCCAATTCTACCCCGGAATCTTTACGGGTCTTCAATAAAAGGCGACTATGCTTGTTGTAAGAGGGGACTAACGGGATCGGGTGGTCAGGCTCGCTGACTTGGATGAAGCATGTTATCATATCCCCATTGCGTGGATCGATGCTCATGATATCAATCACTAGTTTGTTGGTCCAGACTCGATTATTTACAGACCGCCGTCATATAGCTTGAATATTGATGAATGTGGCGTAAAACAACAAACAAACATATCACTCCCTGTTGGAATCCCTGTCTCCAAGCATTACAAGTGACGGTTAGTCGTCTATCATATCACCAATCGTATCGGGACCTCTCTATCTGGACATGTATCGTGTGTATTCAGACGTTTATTGATATGGCAGTTTGCGACGATTGTCAATATAATCCAAATATGGAACTCAGTTTAAGTGGATCCCAACAGACAAATGGCGTTTCCATCTTCCTCTAAGGGTCATGCGGAGGCCAGTTGGCAGCGTCCCAATGAGATGGGAAGTGTTGCGTCCCTGTATGATCTGGGTCTCGAATCCCGGTTCGCCGTGATTGTGTTTCTAGGTTTGTCAGCGCCTTACTGACACAGAAGACACAAAAGTGGTAAACGTTTAAAATCGGCTTTGGTCTTTCCTCTCACATCAAGCTGACGCGCCGTGATAAATTAGAGAATGACCGAGGTATTTCTAATCTTTGAATTACGTGTGAAAAAGCCGAACGAGTTCCGCGAGCGAGGTGCGTTCGCAGGTAATTCACAAGTCAAAAACACATCCACCCCGGTCTTTCTCTAACTTAAACTCCAGTTGACCCCATCAGGCTGGGATACAAGGGTAGTTCAGTTAACCGATTACCAAATTTGTTATATTTCATTTGGCACTTTCTTGATGAATTTACTCTTATTATTATTTGTTTGTATTAAAATCAGTACTTAAAAGTGACAAATCGTAACGAAAACCTAACAACGTTTCAAGTGAGTTTCCCGAGTGAGAAACGAGACTTTAGTGTCGTTACTGACGACAATACTGACGTGAAATAGCTTGATTGGTAGATGGGATCCAGTAATTGCGATTGTGTCACCAAAACGCATCACATTTCGATCACCTAACGAGGTTTGTAAAATTAACAAAGGGACAGGTTCAACCTGAGGTACGATACAATAACATCTTCGAGATCCTGCCGTACTACAGTAAACAACGGTTATAACGAACTCAAATGGACCACTAATTTAAGTTCGTTATAACCGTAGTTCGTTATAAGCATACACACAACATCTATACAGCAAATGGCGGGGACCCAAATTTAAGTTTGTAATATCCGTCAGTTCGTCATAAGCGTGTTCGTTATAAACGTATTTTACAGTAGTTCCATTCTCTCAGATTAAAGGAACTGCATAATAAGCACGTTGTAAAAACAACATTCTGCAATGGTATGGATCGATTGAATGTGTTTATCTGTCATAATTCATATAACCTGGCCAGGTTTAAGGAATTCTTTCTGACATGAAATGTCCTAGACTTCGAGAGAAAGTGACCCTTGAAGATCCGGGGTAGAATAGGTCTTCAGCAACCCATGCTCGCCATAAAAGACGACTATGCTTGTCGTAAGAAGCGACTAACGGGATCGGGTGGTCAGGCTCGCTGACTTGGTTGATGCATGTCATCGTATCCCAATTGTGTGGATCGATGCTCATGATGTCAATCACTGGATTGTCTGGTCCATACTCGATAAATTACAGACCGCCGTCATATAGCTGGAATATTGCCGAGTGCAGCGTTAACCAACAAACACCACCACCTCGAGAGAAAGGTGCACCTGTACCCGCGTTGCACTGACCCCCTATCCAATTTTACTCGTGGACATGTCAATATTGTCGAGCTGCGAGAAACATAGTTGGAACCCATCTGTGGCAAATAGTCATGCATTGGCCCGTTGCACGTGGACATTATGTAGTATCACGGATGACGCTCTGAAATGTTCACGATCACCATGTGGAAAGATTCCATACACTTTATTGTACTCCATTTTAAACACCCACCGTTTTTTTGTGTGAAAAGCGTTTAAAGCAGGACGGTGCGTACAAAGACATTCCTTCCTAATTGAAGACTTTAATTTAGAATCAATAGATGGATTGGGACCGTACAATAGTACCTCGGAGATATGAATGAATGCATCACTCAGTATGTAACATGTAAATCATTAAACCAAAATTGGTGGTTGATGTTTAGCACACTCGATAGAGGCGTTGGGAATTCCACACAAAACAACTCACGTGCCATTCCAATACCAGCAGATCATTTGCAGTCGCTAGTGGGGAGTGGGTGAATGAGTGAGTATGGTTTTGCACCGAGTCTTCAGCGTAACCCGGCGACCCCACCGTCCCAGTCAGTTGCTAATAGTGTTCGTCATAATATAACCGGTTCTCCGTCACTGTGCACGTGGAAGCACGTGGTAGCACGTGACCAGGGATACCTGAACACCGCTGAAGCGGGCGAACGAGAGTGTAAAATTGAAATACTGTTCAAAGCAGCGTCAAACCAAACTTACTGATGTGAGATATCGGTCCCTGCTGTTACACTTTTACACTCATTGACACACAATTGATTTAAACATTAACATCAACATGAGGCTGTGCCAACTGTTTTTCATGATATAATAGTTATATTTAATATTTAGTTTAATATTTAGTTTATATTTAATGTTTATGATTTCACAATAACATTTATTGGCATTCTTCATCTATTATTAGAAATCATTCACTTATAACTTTGAGAAGAAGGGCTTTTACAGACGGCTGCCATTTATTTCGGTAGTATAATTAAAATTGACGTTTCTTCTTTCTCAACTGAAATTGAGGGAACGGGTGGCCCAGTCGTCTAATGCGCCGCGATTCGCTGTGCAGAGTTGCGTCCCTTGGACACGCCAGAAACCTCTGCATCGCATTTATATCAACGATAAGACATTTTGGATATCAGAAATACCAACTTAGACATACGCTGAAAACAAACAACTATGTATTCCACATCACTGTTTATTGAGCAGCACTTGTAACAAGTATATAAACAATGTCATTAAAACACGAATTACATCCTAGGAATTGTCACTGGGGTCAAGGCAAGAGTTCAACTCACTTATGTCATCACTGATCACACCTGCAAGTCCAGACAGACGCCACCCACGCGACATGCGCCTTGTTTTCTTTCGGCGGAAGAACTCTTCTCAGCGCTAATAAGCGGTGCTATTTGGTGTGTGATTGGATGTATCTAAGGTTGGATGAAGGTGAGGATTCTCCTGTAAACCTGACATAAGACATTTTATTTAGATATAAATCCAGTGATGCTTGAGAGGATAATTTCAAGATTTACAGTAATAAATATATTTCTGAAAAAAATACAACCTTCACTTAAAATATCTTCTTGTTAAGCTAAACATAATAATAATAATATTCGAAATACAACACATGTTGATGTAATGAGATAAGTTTCTATTAATGTGTTATGTTTTTGCACTACGCTAATATAAATTCTTCACTTGACATTTTAGAGTGTTCTACTACAATTGTGCTTTAGGGGCCACATATGAAATAAGTCATGTCCTTGTATACACAATCAAATATATTTGAACACCTGTTCTGAAGCCAGGTTTTCACGTACCCTCAGATGAGTACAACGTCAAAAGAGTGCCAGTCGCGATCATGCTTCAGCGTCTGCAAGTGGGACACCTTCACCATCACCTGGTCTCCAGCATCTAACTGAGCCAGTCCACCAGCATCACTCGGGTACTCCAGGTGAGCTCCGTCATTGATGCCCTCTTTACACTCAGTCACGGCATTCTCAAACAACACGACCTGTGTCTGGCTGGAGGCGCTATAGCGGACAACCTGGTGCTGGAATGTTTGGAGTGGCTTGTCATCCTTCCTGTTGTCCTCGACGTAGAACTTGGCATGACTTGTGATGTGGTACACTCCTGCTGCAGGTACTGTGATGGAGCCGTTCTCGTAACTCATTCCATTGTACAGGAGCTTTCTGTCAGAACCATCAGGGTTGGCCCAGTTTCGGAGTGTGGTCAAATTCCTTTTTCGATCTAGAACACCATAACATGTAAATATTTTTTTTATTTTGCGAAGATATCTGTATACATTTCAGACCGATTACTCCATTTGATGATCTTAAGCTGGGAGCAATATGTAACTTTGACAGGGTCGCTTATACCATCACGCAATGTGTCTCACATACCTGCAGTTTCAATGTTGAAATCAAGACCAGAGAAATGAGAAACCGGTTTCAACAAATTAAGAAGTTGCAGGTCAGGATCAGGATCACCATGCTCCTCCCTATCCGCATCTAGGTCAACACAACAATTAACACAATGAGTGTTATAAATTAAGTTTATACTTATTTATGTCTACAAATCAAACACAAAGAGACATGAAAATATCGACCATAAACAACTACAGTAATGTCATTAACATAATGTTATTATCTACTCCAACGTGCCCCCATGACATTTGGTGCGGGTTGGCTGGCGACATTACAAGAACATCGATATCTTTGTAGAATGGTACGATCGCTGAAATACGTGTAAGCAATTTTATCATTACTCGTCAAAACACCTAACTCTCGATTGGTCAGTCACCGTCTTTGCCCGACCGGCCTGTTTGGACAACATGACGTCATGTCGTTTGATATAACGTCATTTGCCTGTCACGTTACACTTGTTTCCACCTTGAGAGTCCTTAGGTGGACACAATGTAGATCATAATGTCTCACAAACGTACCGAACATCAGACTTTGTACCGTTTGAACTCACAATGATAAATACATTCGTTCCATTTGTCAGTAGATGGGCGTAGGGGATTTTACCAACTGAAAGATCACGTACAAGACCATTCAGGTGGACCATTGGTAAGATCCCAACTGAAAAACGTAACTTATCGATGTACTACTTTGGTGCTATGTAAAGACTGTGATATGACGACGTTTTTTGTAAACCGAAAACCAAATAAATGTTAACACATATTATCCATTACCTATAAGGGAAAAAAGATGGGGTTGAATTGTGGCTGTGTCTTGGTGTCAATGGTAAATATTCAAGGAATTATATGAAAAGAAAGGAAAACGATATATGTTTACTGTGTAAACTACTAAAAGTAGGTTGATATTAATAAAAGCGACAAAGCCCTTTCCATGTTCATAACAAATCTCTACCTACCAAGAATTGAAAAGTGGTTTTACAAAGGGCAGACTTAAGTGTGTATTATGTTTTCTCGAAATCTTTCGCGAAATCTACACATCGAAAATACAGCTTTGCAAAGGAAAGAAACATGGCCTGAACGGTACCAAAACATCATCATATTTAATGTTTCAAAGATACTTTGGAACAGAGCAGTACCTCAATTGCATATTTGTCATGAAATTCAAAGTTGTCCTTGCACAATTTCGGTACCAAAACATCATCATATTTAATGTTTCAAAGATACTTTGGAACAGAGCAGTACCTCAATTGCATATTTGTCATGAAATTCAAAGTTGTCCTTGCACAATTTCGATGTTTCTCTCATCAATTGCATATTAAAACTTGTAGATTCATGTTAATACACCACAAAGTGGTCGATTATGTAATTATGGATATATCGAGGATGAAAATCATTTCCTATTAGTTTGCTCTGCGTACACACAGCTACGTACAAGATGAATACATGAAACATATAGCCTTTACCCTAATAAGAAAAAAATGATCTTTTAATGGCCCCAAGAAGCGGTACGTGTATTCCAACTCTAGCTTTTGTCACAGGGTCATAAAACCAGTTTAGTCACGGTCTAGTGACCGCATTGCTTCCCGTCAATCTTATTCTCTAGCGGTTTAATCGCATGCTTTTATCATTTATTGATATGAGATATAGTATCTTATATATGTTTGCTACCTTCTTCATGTATGGGAAATGTTTTAGTTACTTTGATCTTTGAACTTTGACCGTTTACTGAACGTCTTGCTACTTGATGGTCATTCGAAACTCGTTTCGTTCGTAAGTAATTACGGGTCAGTTTTAATCTAGTACTGACATACTCAAGTGGCACTGAGTTAATCTTTAGTTAAAACTATTTACGATGGGGAGTCAAGTTACTCTTTTGGTGAAGTACCTTGTCAAATATTTTACTTAAATATGTTGTATGTCTTCCAAACGTATGTAATCAAATGTACACATGGGTCGTTGGCTCCATTTACCGAAATAAAGAGAGAGACTAATGATTAAAATATGATCCATAACATATAAACCCATACGTTCAGGAATCCTTTGTCTTGAAACATCCACTGTGTCCAGGTACACCTACCATACAGTTAATTCAGCAAATCAGAATGAGTGTGAGTGAGTTGGGTTTAACGCCGCTTTTAACATTATTCCAGTTATATCACGGCGTGTCAGCTTAATGTGGGAGGAAAACCCGAAGTGATGCAGGTCTCAGACGTTTACCACTTCGGTGAAACCCACGAGCACGGGTATGGCGCTGACAAACCTAGAAACATAATTAGGGCGAACCGGGATTCGAACCCACAATCATAGGTTTCTGGCGTGCCCAAGGGACGCAACGCTGCAAAGCGAATCGCGACGCCTTAGACGACTGGGCCACCCGTGCCCCCTCATCAAATCAGAAAATGTAATAAGCAAGAGAATAGGGGAATTACGACACAAGAATAATAATAATTTAGTTAATAGTAAACTGTATTACGTACACAATAGTGTCTGAAAGTTTTACATATCCCTGCTAAAATCAATATAATCACATATAGTGACAGTTCACTATAGATTCCGAGCTACCCATCATCACATTGTGTATGTACCGTCATGGTAGTGATCAATTTCTATGCCCAAACGCTGTATATGAAAGTAAATGTCACGTTCTCTGTCTGTATTTGTTCTCTGTGACTCTATCGCCTACCAATTGCTGCCATAAGTTACGGTATGATAAAGGAGACAAGGACGTGAGAGTTTAAGTATCAAGTGCTGTTTCATTGGGTAGTCTATAGTTACTTCTTTTCCTACTAGATCATGTAATGTCTAGAAGTTATTGTCAATAATTGCATAGTGAATGAATAAGAATATGAATATATGAATACTTGATCATGACTGGTTTATTGAGATGATAATCCCGAAGTATGTAGATAATGAGTGAGTGAGTTAAAATTAAACGTCGCATCGGCATTATTTCAGCCATTTTGCGACTCTAGATAATGCAAATAACACAGAAGTATTTCCTTATTACTTCATTTCTTTCAGATCCGTGAAGATCCGGGGTAGAATAGGTCTTCAGCAACCCATGCTTGCCGTAAAAGGCGACTATGCTTGTCGTAAGAGGCAACTAACGGGATCGGGTGGTCAGGCTCGCTGACTTTGTTGATGCATGTCATCTATCCCAATTGCGTGGATCGATACTCATGATGTCAATCACTGGATTGTCTGGTGCAGAATCGATTATTTACAGACCGCCGTCATATAGCTGGATTATTGCTGAGTGCGGCTTTAAACAACAACAAACAAACTTTTTTTCATCGCCACACGATGCAGCTATACTTCCAGTGTTGCAGAACCAGAATGAATGCATACCTCTTCCAAAACCTTTTCCCAGTCTGTTGATCTCTGTCGTGTGTGGGGTGACTTAGAGGAGTAGACTGTGATAACAGCTATACCAAACACCAGGTTGAGGAGCAGAAGACAACAAGCACAGACTTTCGCAATTTGTAGTCGTTGGTTGTTTTCGTGACAGAGAGACATTCTGTAACACATTTGAAATGTGTACCCACTTCCTGTGTGAAGATACAAAACTGTATCATTTCAAGATTAAACTAATTCCATTTCAAGATTTTATTGTACAAATACATGTATATATTTTCAAGAGATGAAAAATGTTTATTACCTGTACGGATGAATATTGTCGACAAATGACAAGAGTCGAACCACCCTCTAGCGGCCTAGATCATATGACTGCCAATTGATGGGCGATTATAGACTAGTTTATTGATTTTAATTTGAACAATGCACCACCAGCTTGCATTGTGTCACGAGTGAAGTGTAAACGTATTGAACTCATATTTATTACCTCTCCATTTTCATGTCCAGTAATATGCCAGCAGCCCCAGCCTTTGCGTACACTTTAGAGCCACAATCGAAGATTTCAAAGATCATTATACAACTCTTAAAATGTTGTCACACCAGGATGCGACATGCGATGCTTTAGTAAACTATGATAGACCAGCAAGACGTTTCCAAATTTGACGCATCAGCGACAAATGATGTCCGTCGGTATTCCCTATTTTGACTTGTAGCATATGTTTCCATGTTTGTTCAGGTTAATACTTGCATATGCTTTTGTTTGAGTTTGTGAAAGGGTATGGTACGCTCACCTTTTCTCGAACACCTTGTATCATCACCGATTGATCGTGATTCGTAAATATATGCTTCAGGTATAGTCGGAATCGAACAATGGATTTCTTATGATTATGGAAAAAGATATTTTACGAAAGCAGTCAACAACAAATGTAACATAGACTGTCTCCAGACGTTTTTAAGGAGTTATCCTAGAAGAATCATTACCGTTATGTGTAGCTGAATGGGCCACCTGAAACATTAAATGTTTAGGGAGGGTGATGACGCCGATCTGGACTGACGAGGTTTCACCGAAACTGATGTACTTCTGGGTTCGTCCGCAATACACAATCTCAGCTTCATCACTCATGCTTAACAAACAATGATTGTCGCAACCGATCCCGTGGAGCGGTACCGTTTCAAATCAGAGCCTATCCTCGTGGATATCCAGGTTAGAATTGGTCTTCCACAACCCAAGTCTGTAATGAGAGTTTATGAACGGCTTTGGTTAAGCTCGGTGATTTAGTGAGGTACTGTTTCAAGGGCCTACCCTCGTGGATATCCAGGTTAGAATTAGTCTTCCACAACCCAAGTCTGTAATAAGAGGTGATGAACGGCTTTGGTTAAGCTCGGTGATTTAGTGAGATACTGTTTCAAATCAGAGCCTACCCTCGTGGATATCCAGGTTAAAATTGGTCTTCCACAACCAAAGTCTGTAATAAGAGGTGATGAACGGCTTTGGTTAAGCTCGGTGATTTAGTGAGGTACTGTTTCAAATCAGAGCCTACCCTCGTGAATATCCAGGTTAGAATTGGTCTTCAGCAACCCAAGTCTGTAATGAGAGGTGATGAACGGCATTGGTGAAGCTCGGTGATTTCGTTGATGTATGTCATCGTATCCTAGTTGTGTAGATCAATGCTGTTAGTTTGTTGAGTGAAGCCTTTCCACTCCACCTGCTATGGCCTACTTTGTGTAACTTTGTATCAAATTGACAGCCATTTGACTAACTCAGCATGACGAGTTACACTCATGCCTGGGTAACACATACTCAGAATGTGTTTCTGTGATAGTTCTATCTTACAGCTCCATACTGATGTGAATATAGTCTTTGAGGTGGAATTTGGGTCAGTATCAACCCACAGTACACCATGTTTGATTAACAGTATTCCAGTCATATCGCGGCGTGTCAGCTTAATGTGGGAGGAAAGCCCGAAGTGATGCAGGTCTCAGACGTTTACTACTATTATTTGTTTTTACGCCTTAAAGAATATGTACGGCAGGTATTCGAGACGGCTTATTCTTTGGCGTTTGGCGTTTTGAATCCCTCGTAAATGTTTAGTAATTGGTGACATACACTCTCTCAAAAAAGAAACGCAACCCCAGTCTGAAAATGTGAGAAAACTCCTAGAAGAAAAATATTGATTGTAAATACAATTTTTCTGATATGCACTTATACCATGTACACTGTTTATTAACGTAAGCGCCCAAACACACCAATTTTCGTGCACAAGGGCATTTTATTGTTTCTTTCATCACAGTGAGCAGAAATTTCACGTGACCCATGCTAAAAGCTTCATGCACGTGCAATTCATGGAAAGAGCAGTAGAAGTATGGGTTTATAAAAAAAGCACGTGTTGATTAGCGATTCACTCTATCATTTTCACCGAAAGACAAGGTCGAATATGCCACGGTTGAGTGCTGCAGATCGAAATATCGCCATTGGTCGTAATGAGGCCGGACAAAGCTTTGGAAACGTTGCCCGGCACCTCAATGTTCATAAAACAACGATTTCCCGACTTTGGAGGCGATACACCCGGTTTTATGCAACTGAAGATCGCCCCAGAAGTGGTAGGCCAAGGGTTACCACACCACCCCAGGATCGATTCATCCGGGTCACCCACCTACGTAATCGGCTAGCCACACCTACCGTCACTGCAACACAGGTGCCAGGTTTGGGAAGAGTGTCCGCACAAACAATTAGGAACCGTCTACGAGAGGCCGGTCTACGTGCAAGAAGACCACTTATTGGACCTGTTTTACGCAACCAACATCGACACCAACGACTCAGGTGGTGCATTAACGTTCGGATATGGACCCTAAGAAACTGGAGGCGCGTCTGGTTTAGTGACGAATCACGTTTTCTCTTACAACGCCGTGACGGAAGACAGCGTGTCTATAGAAGAGGAAACGAACGTTTTGCCCCGAACTGTGCTCGGCAGGTCGACAGATTTGGAGGAGGGAGCGTCATGGTGTGGGGAGCCATGTCTTACAACCAAAGATCAGACTTGGTGATCATTCGTGGCAATTTGACAGCCAAGCGCTATATCAATGATGTCTTACAGCCTCATCTTCTGCCGATTATCGACCAACAGAGGGAGCTCTATCAACACGTCAACGCCCGGCCGCACACTGCTCATGCAACAGTGAATTTTCTCCAGAATTCTAACGTCAACGTGTTACCATGGCCCTCCCGATCACCAGACATCAACCCAATCGAACATCTTTGGGATTATCTGGACCGACGAGTGCGTGCACGTACACCGCCGCCGCAGACGTTGGATGCACTAGCCGTTGCACTGCAGGAGGAGTGGAGAGCAATCCCTCAGGAAAGAATCCGGCGTCTAATCCGTTGTGTTCCTAATGCTGTGATCGCAGCTCGTGGCGCTCATACGAGGTACTGAGAAAGACGCCCAATTGCGTCAAGTCAATCTTAGGGAGAGAACTCTGGACTTAAACTTGCATAACTGTACTGCCACCATGCCAAATTTCATATTGTTGTCTTCAATAATAAATGTGTTATAATAACTTGAATATTGAGATAAACATCTTGAAAATATAGGGGTTGCGTTTCTTTTTTGAGAGAGTGTATTTTAGTTCGCCTGACTGAAAATCAGGTGAGCTTATGTCATGGCGCATTATTCATCGTCCGTCGGGTTGTCCGTCCGTTGTTACTTTTCACAATTGCGAAATCTCCTCTGACACTTAAGATGAAACTTTGGAGTTAGTGAGTTGGGTTTAACGCCGCTTTTAACAGTATTACAGTTATATCACGGCGTGTCAACTTAATGTGGGAGGAAAGCCCCAAGTGATGCAGGTCTCAGACGTTTACTACTTCGGTGAAACCCACGAGCACGGGTATGGTGCTGACAAACCTAGAAACATAATCGGGGCGAACCGGGATTCGAACCCATAATCATAGGTTTCTGGCGTGCTCAAGGGACGCAACTCTACACAGCGAATATCGCGGCGCCTTAGACGACTGGGCCACCCGTACCCCCGTTTGGTATGGGGATTGGTTGATCATGACCAAGCTGATTGTGCGTTATGCGTACTCCGACGGGCGCAGGCTGCTCATGCTTTGACATAGGCCATCTTGATATGTCGTCAAACAACACACAAACTAACAAAGTCGAACAATGTACACAAGCACACACTACGGCCTTTCACAAGTCACTATCATTTAGGAATTGTTGTATTCAATCTTGACCGTTCATTTTGCATGAGGTAACTATTTGCTTTGATAGAATTTCTGACTGATCGGACTGCTAAAGAAGACTTGATCCCTGTCCCATGCAAGTCTGGCTTAGACAGATTCAGTGTTCTATACACTCTCTATGCTGATGGCGTGTCAGTTAGACTGGTGTAACATTTATTGTATCATGAAACGTGAATTTCACAATCATGCAATATATAGGGATGTAAATTATGCACATACTTTTAAAAGTATTGTATGTTAAATCTATTGGTCACGGATGTGATAAAAGCTCTTTCAGTTCATTCACGGTTGTTGCTGTTTTAAGAATTCCAGTTTCTATGAAAGGAAATGTGGCTTGTTTAGGGTTGATGTTTTGTAAAGGTTGTTTTGAGTGAGTTTGGTTTAATGCCATTGTGTAAATCATATTTTTTTAATTGTCAATAAAGGGGGAAAAAAAGTTTGGTTTGACGCCTCTTTATAATTTTGAATAATGTTTGGTTAGTGTGTCCCTGGCTAATTATCACATATCTCAAGTTCCCTGAAAATATATTTACATCTGCGGCACATGCTTTTACGTTCAGTAACCAACAACTTGGTAAAGGAGTGTACTTTAGAATTCATATCAACTTGCTAGGCATGCTCCAATAACAAAATAACCCGCGTGCATAAAGCCTATTTTTATTTTAAAAAACCCCAACCAAAACAACACGTACACAAATGTAACTTGGTCCATTCACTCAAAACGTCATTAGATGTTATTGTTGCTAAACACTTAGTTGTCCAGTTATAAACTGCGTATGAATAGACCCGTGAAGATTCCGGGGTAGAATAGGTCTTCAGCAACCCATGCTTGCCGTAAAAGGTGACTATGCTTGTCGTAAAAGGCGACTAACGGGATCGGGTGGTCAGGCTCGCTGACTTGGTTGATGCATGTCATCGTATCCCAATTGCGTGGATGGATGCTCATGATATTAATCACTGGATTGTCTGGTCCAGACTCGATTATTTACAGACCGCCGTCATATGGCTGGAATATTGCTAGTGCGGCGTTAAACAACAAACTAAACCAGAACCAAAAAGCATATGAATGTGAGTGAGCGAGTGAGTGAGTATGAATTTAGCAATATTCCAGCAATATCACGGCGGGGGACACCAGAAATGGGCTTCACACATTGTACCCATGTCGGAAATCGAACCCGGGTCTTCGGCGTGACGAGCGAACGCTTTAACCACTAGGCTACCCGACCGCCCCGCGTATGAATGTAAACAATAAGCAACTAACAGTTAACATTTTTCTTTATCACTGAGAGAGTTGGTATTAACGCCGCTTTGAACAGTATTCTCGTTATTACGGCGTGTCAGCTAAATGTGGGAGGAAACGATGCAGATCTTATACCTTTACCATGTTGGTCAAACCCACGGGCACTGGTATAGTGCTGGAAAACGTAGAAAACGGAGATCATAGGTTTCCCGAAAGGAAATGAGTCCAGGATCCTTATACCCTGTATAATCAGAAACCATTCCCAGGTAAGTTCTATAAACATGTTAAACAAGATACATGTCAGCAAAGTGCCAGTCTCTATCATGTTGCAGGAGATCGAAATGAGACACCCTCACTATGACATTATCTCCAGCATCTAACTGAGCCAGTCCATCAGCATCACTCGGGTACTCCAGGTGAGCTCCGTCGTTGATGCCCTCTTTACACTCAGTCACGGCATTCTCAAACAACACGACCTGTGTCTGGCTGGAGGCGCTATAGCGGACAACCTGGTGCTGGAATGTTTGGAGTGGCTTTTTGTCCCTCCTGTTGTCCTTGACGTAGAACTTGACGTGACTTGTGATGTGGTACACTCCTGCTGCTGGTACTGTGATGGAGCCGTTCTCGTAACTCATCCCGTTGTACAGGAGCTTTCTGTCAGAACCATCAGGGTTGGCCCAGTTTCGGAGCGTGGTCGAGTGCATTTCTCCTTCTAGAACACCATAAAATGTAAATAATAACATCATGAACATATCTGTATACGTTTCAGGCCGATTACATTATAAGGAGATTTTAAGCTGGGAGAAAAGTGTAACTTTAAAAAGAACGCTTATATCAGAGAGAGTGAAAGAGCTTGGAGAAGACGGTTTCAATATAAGTTGGGGGTGATAGTACGTTACGATGAGAGAAATAACAGAAATGCGTCAAAACATTACAATCCCGAAATGGTTAAATACATATTTTGGTATTTTAATGCATATAAGTACACTACAGTAAAGCATTGGCACAGTTTCTGACAGCACAATGCGTTTATCATTGCCTGCTAGAAGTAACATCATGATAAATATATTTTAATAAATAAATATTTTGTGTGTTTTATAAGACTAAATATTTTTTTTACAATAACAGACAATCTTCTTTCATAACATTGTACTTTTACATAATGCTTATACATCAATTGTCATAATTTTCTACCATTTGAGTAAAACATCAAATAAATGTTGGTTAAAGAACCAAACCCTTAAAATCATATTTTGATGTCGCCTGAGTTACCTGGTAGGTCGAAGTCGAGACCAGAGAAATGCACAACTGGCTTTAGGAGATTCAGGAGCTGTAGGTCAGGTGCACCACCCCCATTGGTCTCTTCTGATTAAGGGAAAGAATGGTCTTGAACTATGTTCAGTAAATATCACATTATGTTTTGTAGTGCTTTTATTTCAGCACATTGAGTCCACGGGTCCTTTTGTATATAATAGGATCACAGTCACACTGACAAGAATTGAGAGAGATTGACAATTATATTTCTAACTGTAGAAGATGGAAGAGCATTAAATTTATGATTTAAAGATGAAATAAAATCTGTCGTGAATGATCACATGCAGGACACACATTATGTTTTGTGTAAATTATATGTTATAAACATGACAAAATGTAATTCTCGTAAAACATAAATTATTTGGATGATTAAACCAAGCTGTTGTTGAACTCTGCTAAGATGATAGCAAGTGGGCGAAGTTGGTGAATATTGTTCACGCTGCAGTTTATCATTACATTAGGCAAACTGTACATAATCGAGCAAGAAAACCAGTTACTAAAATCATGAGCAATCATAAATGCCACAGTGCTCATCCTCGATCAACCATGGTATTTGACACAGACGCTGGTCCTATTCGCCACTTTGGCTTCATTTCGAAAATGACCTCACCATATTCATCTGCCTATCACTTAACTAGGAAACATCAAACGTACTTTAGTATGTGTGATAAGACAGTCTCGGTGAAACTTGGTTTTGAAATGTATGTAGTCTTCAACACTGATCATAGGTCTTCAGCAACCCATGCTTGCCGTAAAAGGCGACTAAGCTTGTTGTAAGAGGCGACTAACGCGATCGGGTGGTCAAGCTCGCTGACTTGGTTGATACATGTCATCGTATCCCAGTTACGTGGATCGATGCTCATGTTGTCAATCATTGGATTGTCTGGTCCAGACTCGATTATTTACAGACCGCCGTCATATAGCCAGAATATTGCTGAGTGCGGCGTTAAACAAAAAACAAAAAACAAAACAAACAAACATTAAATACGAAATATGTTAGAGTAACTGTAGTGAGAATTATCGGTAGAATAGGTTTTCAGCAACCCATGCTTGCCGTAAAAAGCGACTAAGCTTGTTGTAAGAGGCGACTAACGGGATCGGCTGGTCAGGCTCGCTGACTTGGTTAATGCATGTCATCGATCCCAATTGCGTGGATCGATGCTCATGATATCAACCACTGGCTTGTCTGGTCCAGTCTCGATTATAAACAGACCGCCGTCATATAGCTGGAATATTGCTGAGTGCGTCATTAGACAACAAACAAACAAATATCAGTATAAATGTAAGTGTAGACATGTACCAAAGTCCATCAGCGCAGCAGAATATGAAAATGGGTAAAGAAGGTTCAGTGTTGCTAAATGTCATAGCAAACTATATCACCACGGCCCATGGTGAAGCCAGGGAAAGCAGCAGGCAGCTGTGTGATAATATGTTCACACTGACTCAAACACAGGCAGCTGTGTGATAATATGTTCACACTGACTCAAACACAGGCAGCTGTGTGATAATATGTTCACACTGACTCAAACACAGGCAGCCAACATGCATGACATTCCGTCGTATGACATATTTTTGGTGCAAATTGTGTGTGGACCATGCTACCGGAGGAGCAGGACATGCTTACCCCTCTCGCGACCACCTCGTGTCATCACTGATTTTCAGTGATCCATTTATATAATGTGCAAAGCTATTTTGCCTTTTAATGTAATCTGTTTTGGAGGATAATCGAGACCGGTTATTCACAGGCGTTGGGGTTTTATATCAACTGGCTATCAATAACGGCCAAATCTTAATTAAGTCGCATGTTACCACCATGATTCGGACCTGATCCGCGTCTGCAACGGACGATACTTTTGCTGTTGCCAGAATGATTGCAAGAATACAGAAGGAAGCATGCTTGAAAGTTGTCATATTATGTAATCACGTGTAACTGTTTCTAAAATCGGGGAAATACATGCAAAGAGCTTTGCTCCTCAGGAAGCTAGGGTGTTAATATAAGTATATAAACGAATAATAGACAAGGTAGAAAAGTGCACAGTATTATTATGATCAGCTATATGCAATTAAAGAGAGGCAATCTAAAGTCTTGGGACCAAACTGTCAAAATAAAAGGGATGAACATAGCTATCTAGATATGAACATTTAGTAAGTTGGCAAAAAAGACTATAAATGCATGAGAAATATCTACACAGTACTAGATAATCCCGCTACGGCGTGAAACTCAAAGTTACTTAAACAATTTCAATATGTCAGTAAGCTTGCACACACATATGATATAGCGTATATCAAATCGACACATAATTCGATAGCGATAGCCTAATGAGCACAAAGACAATGGGTGACGTGAAGGGAAGAGCGTCGATCGCTTGGTTTTATGACGCGGCGACACAAAAGTAATATTATCAATGGAGTGAATGTTCTTTGACGCCGTTCCCAGTACTATTCCAGCCATATTAAACGAGGACACGCTCTCTTCAGATACTCATTCTAGATGACTTCAAAGACAAGCATGGTACTCGGGGCCTCTTGACTCGGAATCCATATTCCTAACTACATTGCTAAGAGATATTGAGAGACGGCTTGTTCAGCTTTGCAAACATGCATCTTTGAGAGAAATAAAAAATATTTCACATTAGTAGTAGATAATTTATAACAGGTTATCAATGCAGCCATTCACGTAATGTTTCATTCAACAGTTTAGATAGAACGTCAGAGAAATCAGGCCAAACTGTCAAAAATAAAATCTACCGAATGGTTCATTTGCAAAGTCCAGGTTTTTTAACAATCTATTGCAGATCTGAAAATGAAGACAAAGAGAAACACTTTTGTATATATTGTGGTAGTATTCACCAGACACGTATCTGTCATCGAATTGAAATGTGATAAGTTTTAAAAGATGTGAAAACTACAGTCACGAATACAGAAATATCTCTACACCCTTTGCAAAATACCACCAGCCATCTCTGCAATGCTATTAGTTTGTTACTGATGATGATGGTGAATATTTAAACATACTGTGATGAAAGTGAAAATATGTAATAACTTGGACCATGAGCATGTAAGTTAAAAATGGAATTAAAAATATTAGAACCTCTTTCAGCCTTGTCTGTATGTTCTGTGTTTGAGGGTGTACTGGGGTTATGTCAGTAATAGAGATAACCACCACTCCAACGACGATATTGGCTATTATCAAAACACACGCTATTATTTTGATATTTTTCGTCAACCTCGGCGTTCGTTCCACGGACCACATGGCAGTAAGAACTGAAATAGAAAACATATTTGACCTTTATTGTGCTTCTGACATTTATGTTTGTGAAAAGCACGTTTGCTTACACGTTTATGTGTGTTTTATTCTGGCTTTTACATGTGTCAAAAACGCGTGAATAATAAACCGTTGGTGGAAAGAGAGAGAGAGAGAGAGAGAGAGAGAGAGAGAGAGAGAGAGAGAGAGAGAGAGAGATTGGGGGGAGGAAAGTCCATATTTGTCTGCGGTGTTGATCCTAAAGGCCAAAAGAACATATTGAAACAAGGTATAACATTGTTAATTAGATGATGGAAAGAGAAAACCAACTTTGACAAACGACGTAGTTTTGTCTTAATAAAGAACATAATAATATAGTGTTATCAATTGCACCAATTTATCCATGAATTCTATTGTATTTTGAGGCAGGGGTAATTTAAAAAGAGCGTTACAGAGCGTTACACAATGTTCATCAGTTTGCGACAGTGATCTGTCACAACACATTATCATCTGTTAGATTTTTTGTGTCGCTGGGTCGTACACGTGTTAATACTATTCTGTGACAGATGCTTGGCTCAATTAGTAAATAAAAGCGCCAGAAAGTTCTTATTTTGTTATCTGCTACAGATCATTCTCTCTTTCAATAATCCAAAGTGAGGGCCAGAACTCAGTTATTTCTATTTTCAACAGTACTTTAGGTACTCCGCGTGATAGAGAGACAGAGAAATGTAATGCAACCCTACACCACAACACTCATCTTCTTACTCTGAAGAGGATACACGCATTCGCCTTTCCTCCAACTGACAACTTTATTACAGTATCCAATTACAATTTGAGGCTTTTTAGGAAGCCTTCATCTCTTTACACCATCACACACGTTCTTGTCTGCTCACCGTCCTCAACACCACCGTCTTCTTGAATATGCGACTGTAAAATCCTTCACTATGTTATTCTCTCTGAATTGTCCTTTCAAACACAGAATGGTTCATATTCTCATTGCAGTCACACGTAATGTCTTCCAAAGGCTTCTGTCGCTTATAAAAAAAAAAGTGCAGTTCGATCTCGATCACTAAAGGACTTTAGTCTGGCCTTTTTGCGGAATGACTTCAACCGATCCAGTGAGTCCAATTTCGATAAAGTCTGCAATAGATTCTTGTTCAGATACTTTTACTGCCAAAATATTTACATCTATGTTCGTTAGAGGTGAGGTGAGGTGAAATGGGGTTTAACGTCGCGTCCAAGATTATTGCACTTATATAGCGACGTGCATGTACGTGTGTGTGTTTGTGTGGCTGCTTGTACTAGTCCGGACTGATGTCGATTTATAGTGCTGAGATACCATGTCGCAGTTTAACATGAATACCCCACTCAGACACAGTATACTGACTCCGAGCCGACCAGTCCTTGTTTTAGCCCCTTAATGCCGAGCGCCAGACAGGGTAACAACAAGTGCCATCTTTTAACGTCTTTTGGTATGACGCGGTCGGGGATCGAACCCCGGACCTTCCGCTCTCCGGGCGGACGCTCTACCACAAGACCACGGAGGCGGTCCTATGTTCGTTAGACTTCCTACCAATCATCAACATTCGGGAAAACACAGACCGAAATCGGAAGCAGACGACACTTTAGCAGTCTCATGTGATGTAATGTGCCAATTAAATATTTCTTACTGCGTTACATTCAATGAGCATTTCAAACGAGTGCAAACCCGGAAGTGGACGAATAAAACTCTGACACGAGATTGTACGTGTGACCTCATGTGCTCAACTACAACGCGACGGGAAGGTTGCACCTAGTTCATGGTCATTTCTTTCGTGATTGTGGGGGAATGTAGATCCAACGTCACAATAGTTTAACGTCACTGGAAAGGGAACCTTTACAAGACTGTGTCATCCTTCTTAAACATTCCCAGCTGACTGTGGTCTCTCGTTTGTCGTGCTTGATGTAGCCTTCAAAACAGAGCTTCACCGCCATTGTTCTGGATGAATTCAGCTGATATCATAGACATTTCATTTGTATTTATATACAACATTATTCCTTGTTACAGGAAGTCTATTCTCCAAATTGATCTTTGGGATAAATCACCAAGAACAATGAAGAACGAAGCGTGGTTTATTTCCCGATAAAACATTGTTCTATCGTGACGTCATTTCTGGAGATTCCAATATACACTCGCAACTACACGACGTCATGTACTGAACGACGTTATTTTGGAGAGGGAAGTGTCTAGTAAATTGTTCCCCATAGATGTAGCTGGGCTACGCAGATAAACGCAGTGGCCGAACGATTGCATCCAAAAGTGGGAAAGATATGAAAATCTGTATTGGGAGAAAAGGTACAGTTAATCGACGTGAAAATTGTAAAAATATGCGGAAAATACCAAACTTATCCCACCTGTTCACAAAATTGACTTGTCCGACATTTCCTGGTCGGATTCTACTTAGGGAGTCATCATTATTAAAATTTTGGTAAATATTTTTAAAACTTGTACTTTTTATCAACATCCTTTAAATAGGATGTACATGACGTTGATATCTCGTATAAGAAATACACGACGAGTGGGAGTTGTTTATCGTACAATAAAACACTGCAGGGAGAATAAACCACTAGGGGCTGAGCCCCTCAATAAAACACCGCAGGGGGATAAAAACCACTCTGGGCTGCGCCTCTCTTGGTTTATTCTCCCTGCAGTGTTTTATTGTACGGTAAACAACTCCCATTCGTCGTGTATTTCTTAAATAAAACACTTGAAACCATTTTTTTTCGCGATAGATCACATCCGAAACAAGAAAACATTCCCCGAAATGTTCCTGCTCGATAGTCCATGTACAAACGATGATTTGGTTTACGGATGATGCACCAATACACAAGAATAATTAATTTTTTTTAAAGCTGAGATGAAACACACAGCAAACTCTACCCAGCCCAGGAACACTTGGGAAACTACAGTTGTCGGTCATGTTATTAATTGAATATATTATTTTTGGCGTTAATGGACATATAAATGTAAAAATCAGTGTGCACACTGTGGATATGCGCAAAGTAAATTAAATAAATACGTCAACAATAATAATTTCATTAACTGTTTATTTAATCAGAGACATTGTTGAGTCCAATAATATATACACCACACGCGCCGGCCACTCAGTTATCGCCAATCAGGAAACGGTAATCCGTTAGTGTGTTCTTTCCTGTTCATGAAAACAAACGCACAAACATTTCTTGGTTAGCCAAACAAACGCCATGGAATCACTTGCAATGTATGTATTACTGGTGGAGAAATGATGACAATTTTTTGATTCCGGACGAATGTGATTCTCCGATTTAAACTTAATGTTACAGATGATATATAATTTATATACACAAGTAAATTTGCATAATGACCTGTAGTTCTCTTTTACGTGCAACAACAATAGCGTGACGTCATCATAATGGTTTAAAGCCATAAGATCCCCATGTTGTGTTCATGAACATGCACATTGCCCAAAAGTACCTGCGTCCAAACTTCCACAAATTTGGAACACAAATTTTCTCCTTGTCGCGTCTGTAAACTACAGGAGTAGACCAATAAATTATGGGAAATAACTCTTTTGTTTTTTATTAAAAATGAAACATTTTATTTTCTCATTTTATTTGAAATATTTTTTATGAGATAACTTAAGAGGACACATATAAAAATATTTTGTCGTTCGACATTGCCTCTAAGGTTCTAGGACCCGTGAGGGGGCACGGGTGGCCCAGTCGTCTAAGGCGCCGCGATTCGCTGTGCAGAGTTGCGTCCCTTGGGCACGCCAGAATAGGTCTTCAGCAACCCATGCTTGCCGTAAAAAGTGACTATGCTTGTCGTAAAAGGCGACTAACGGGATCGGGTGGTCAGGCTCGCTGACTTGGTTGATGCATGTCATCGATCCCAATTGCGTGGATCGATGCTCATGATATCAATCACTGGATTGTCTGGTCCAGACTCGATTATTTACAGACCGCCGTCATATGGCTGGAATATTGCTGAGTGCGGCATTAAACAACAAACCAACCAACCAATCTAAGGTGCTAGAACAATAAATACATAAACTCAGTGATAAAAAAGTGGCAATGCCATATTCCTTTTGTCATACAGACCAACGACGTGATGAGTGGGACATACATTCACCCTAATTAACACACACGGTGCTGTAAATACTGTTTGAGCAGTCACTGTGGGTGCTGTAGTCAAGTCATGTCGACACAGCTTTATGACACAGATGTGTATAATTGCGACCACACAATGCGTTGTTTGTGACACATGATGCAACAGACCGACCTTTTGACATTCCGAGGGGAATCTAGGCTATATTTGAGGCAGATTATATTAACATTTTTCAGTCAGCGCTAAACAAGACATGTTTACTTTCTCTGAAAGGATTGGCAAAATACATTTGTTTGGACTCACAACACGTTATTCGTCTTCTCGTGAAGATAAATCATTTTGTGTATTTTATTTGTGTTTTAATCTAAATATCACGCAAAGTAAGCACTGGGGCACACATTATTAAAGTGGAATTCGGTCCTAACGTCACCACACGTCACAAGTGTATATAGCAGTGCATGAAGACGAGTGTTTAGATGATAACCAAGTACAAATGCATGACACGTTGTCCTCCATCTTAATCTTCAAAGATGCTCGCGTGATCGAATGTTAAAGATTGCACAGATAACGACTCAAGTTAATGATGGGAAGAAATGTATCCAAATCAAGAAATGTCGAAAGACATGAGAGAAACATAGCTACGCAGTAATATCTGTATACTTACATGGCTCTGTCAACTTCCCTGTATGTGTACACTCACACGCTAACAGTCACATTACATACTAAAATAGACCCATGGTTTCCGTTGACAGGACGTTAAAGATCATATGATTCCCATTTCCGATATTTATATCTACTCATCACTGCACTTATATATGCACGTAGACTACAATGTACAAATACAGTAAACTACGGTTATAACGAACTCGAGGGGATCACTAATTTTAGTTCGTAATAACCGTAGTTCGTTATAAGCATACACACAGCATATATACAACAAATAGTCGGGACTAAAAAATAGTTTGTTATATCAGTCAGTTCGTTATAAGCGTGTTCGGAGAGCATCTGCCCGAAGAGCGTAAGTTTCGATTCGCTGCAGCGTCAAATCTAAATACGTTAAATGGTGGTACTTGTTGTTACCCGTCCTGACGTTCGGCATGACGGGGATAAAACAAGGACTGGTCGCCTCGGAGTCAGTATACTGTGCCTGAGTGGGATATTCATGTTTAACTGCGGCCTGGTATCTCAGTGGGCTAGCACTAGAAACCGATGACGTTAATACAGTTTCGCCCTCATTCGCCTAGGTTCATACTCCAATGTACTCACACAAAGTGTTAGTCAATTCTTTAGATGTAACTATTCTTTATCTCGTGTGATTTCATGTTTACACCGACAGCCATATAAATACAAGCTGTACCGAGGAATAAAATATGTCCTCAAAAGGAAAGGTAACATTTTGTAGTTTGGCTAAAAAATGTATTCAAATAATATCATCATTAGATGGGAAAGGTCTGTTATCTACCCCAGTAAGTCAGTCACAGTCGTTGCGGAGTGATACATTTACAGTGCAGAACGTCAACAGGTCCGACGCGATAATTGCGACGGGAGAGATTGGCCGATCATCGAAAGGAATTATGAAGATGTGTCAAATATATTTTGAGATAAATGCATAGATTGCTGAGGACTGACACTGTCAGTCTCGACACGGATCGAGTCGATAGTGTGAATGTGCATTTCTTCATTTTGTTCACTTGGATGAGTCGTAGTGAGGATATTCATACAAGGGTATGCAGTCAAACTCCAATTCCCAAGGAATGTGAAAGTAGTCCGTCAATGATTACGTCATTTCAAGAATACAATATCGTTTTATTCGTATGAAAAAAATGTGAAGTTCATACGCTTATATATGAGATAGAATCGCGATTTATCGCAAAGAACAATGAAGAGCGAGGCGTGGTTTATTTCACGATAATACATTTTTCTGTTATGACGTCATTTCTGGAGAGTCAGGACAGGCTCGGCAAGGAGCATGTAACAATAACGACCGAGATTCGACTCGATCGACTGACTGTAAAACCCGCGCACACTCCTAACATGAAAACCTTCTTTTTAAAGTATTCGAGTCTGAATCCGCTTTTGACACGTGTCCGTATACATCCTTCGTTAAGACAACACGATGAACACGCGATTGTGTGGTGATGGGGAATTACAGAGAACTACTAACATGTAATACACCGTTTACGGATTACCTTATGTATCAATGGTCTTATGTATTCTATATCTTATTACTTATGTCTTCTGTAGTTCAAAGGTCCTAATTTTTATGTTCTGTTGACACTGATTTATCTACAAGCAGCAACAGCAGCGAAGCAAGCGTAAAAGTAATGTGCTAATGATAACATTACATGACATGATAACATTATAGCAATCACGAAACAGTCACGAAAGTAATCCCCAATTTAAGAGTTGAATTTGTCATAATTGTCTAGGGTTTTGGGGATGAATTTTCATCTTATAACAGTTTTATAGTTATTACTCACTAATTAGCGACCAGCGTTTCCGTCGTTCTAAAATTGCAACGTAGTTACTGTGATCTTCCGTATCCCTGATGCAAATCGAAATCGCTGTGATCAATTTCAACCCTGATCCTAAATATTTGCAATATTTGAAAACATCGCTTGTACCACACAATATTCAAGAAAGGCGGAAGTTTTGTGTGAACGTGAATATTCAAACTGGATATGAAATCAAAACTGAAAATGTTCGTTTCATAAATTACAGTGCGACTAAAGTTTTTATGTCTGTGCGGGCTGGGGGTGGATGGGGCTGGGGGTAAGGATTGTAAGAGGGAGGGGAGGGGGTGGGGGTGTTGGAGGGGGACTTGCGTTCATTCGTCACGCCGAAAGCCCGGGTTCATTGCGTGAAGCCCATTTCTGGTGTCTCCACCGTGATATTGATCAAATATTGCTAAAACCGGGAAGTCAGGGATTTTTAAAAAGAAGATCATTTTGCCTCAGGTTTTACAACAAACACAAAGTGTTCACTGGACATGATGGATGTCCTGAAACAAAAATTCGGCTTCTTTCACAGAACAAAAATATCAGTTTTGTGCCAGTGACCGAAAAAAGATGCGGTCAGGTTTGAAACTGCAACATGGCTGATTCCGTATCTCCTCGCACTTTCTGATTGTTCACTTGAAACAAATGTGATCCAACTTCCCAGACATAATCGTAATAGATCATATAAAAGCAAGAATGTCAGCGTGTTAAACAAAACTGTGGTCAGTAAAAACATACATAAGGTTAGTCTATTTTTTGGTTTCCTTTTCGTCGTCTTGACGATGCTAACAGTATAATGAGAAACTGCAAATGACACTATGTATCATAATCGTACATTTCAACAAGTTAATCTGTTGTGTATGTTACATGGTATTTCCTTGAACAAGGATGCACAGGTGGTCCAGTTGTCTAAGGCACCTCAATTCGCTATGCAGAGTTGCGTCCCTTGGGTACGCAAATAACCTATGATTGTCGGTTCGAATCCCGGTTCGCCCCGATTATGTTTCTAGGTTTGTCCCATCTGTCTTTCCTCCCACATTAAACTGAAGTATAACTGGAATACTGTCACACGCGGCGTGGGGGCGGTCGGGTAGCCTAGTGGTTAAAGCGTTCGCTCGTCACGTCGAAGACCCGGGTTCGATTCCAGACATGGGTACAATGTGTGAAGCCTATTTCTGGTGTCCCCCGCCGTGATATTGCTGGAATATTGCTAAAAGTGGCGTAAAACCATACTCACTCACTCACTCCAACGCGGCGTTCAAGCTCAAATCGCTCGCTCACTCACTCATTCACTCCAAGAACACATATATACATAGATGGAAGATGAGTACGTGAGTGTGTGTATGCCAGTAGTTTCGCAATCAGTATAATAATAATAACGATAATAACGATAATAATAATAATAATAATAATAATAATAATAATAATAATAATAATAATAATTATTAAAACAACAACAACAACAACAACAACAATAATAATAATAGGCTGGCCTGAAAGGAAAAACAGAAGTCATTCTGTTTGCTGCTCAGGACCAGTCACTCCCGGAGCGGAGGGCGACACCGAACCCGTGGATTTACATTTTCACCCCAAACCTCATAGAAGTGTTTTCTCATAGTTATATACCGTCGAAACAACATGTATTACGATTTGTTTGATAGCACGTATAAACGTGCGTTACGATAGTCTCGTAAATATATATCTGGCAGGAAATGTATGCTCAACATGGTACCTTCTGATGAACCAACTACCTTCTAATGAACCAAATATTTTCAAAAGTTCTATGGTCTAACGGTTAGAGTGCCTGACAACAGATCAGGGAGTGGTGGTTCGATTCCTGTCATCCATATTGAACAAGTTCAAATTCTTGTCTTCGATATTACGTTTGAAAACACAATTCAAGTCCAAACTTGATCTTACTTCATCATAGCAAAGATGATGTCTCACAAGGATAAAGTAAAACGTCATATCCGGTCTTACTAGGAAAAGTGTAATTGTATCCCAGGTCTTACTGCCTGTAAAAAAGAATAGTTTGGTTCAATGGCAAGTACCGACATAGAGGTTTATTTCGAGGTAAGAGTACAACTGACTGAGGAAACTGAGGAAACCAATGATCAATATGAACACACAATGCCATTTAGAAAGTGGTCAAATGTAACAAATGTTATATTTGGGATAACAGCTTCTTTGTAAAGTACAGATTCTCGTACATTTTGGGGTTGAGTCCCGTCCGGGATTCGAACCCACGCTACCAGTGTGAGGCACCTAATCGACGGCACACAAAGTCAGCGATCTAACCCACTAAGCCACCGATGATTCCACAAAAAAATCCGACAACTGGTAGTCTAGATCACGTATTTTGTGTACCCCTCTGACAAGTGTACATTGTCCGAAAGCTATGAACACACAATGCCATTTAGAAAGTGGTCCAATGTGGTCTTAGTGAAGTACAGATTCTCGTACATGTTTGGGTTGAGGTACCTAACCGAGAATCTGTACATTACAAAGAAGATGTTATCCCAAATATAACATTTGTTACAATGATCTATTGTCAATAATGTGAACGTGTAGATTCCCAAATGGAAACTCGAAAGTTAATTCAGAAATCGGTACGTGCAGAGATCAGTAAATAACCACACAGGATCAAAATGACTAATCAACAGAATATAGTGAAATACTCAGGATAAGGTTTACATCACACAAGGCAATACAATGGATAAGATATATGCGACAAGAGGCGAATATGCTTGTCGTAAAAGGCGGGTGGTCAGGCTCGCTGACTTGACTGATGCATGTCATCGTATCCCAATTGTGTGGATCGATGCTCATGATATCAATCACTTGATTGTTTCGTCCCGACTCGATTATTAACAGTCCGCTGTCATATAGCTGGAATATTACTGAGTCCGACGTTAAGCAACAAACAAACGTAGACAGAAACAAACGCAAATGTCCAGTAATTGTATCTTGGATGAGTCATGAGGTCCGACTTGAATCCAGGAACCAGTGTTGGAAACAGGCAGGAATGCCGGTGATGTTCGATACTTGTCCTGTCTGCATCGGGCAAGCAGACAGACGAAAATCAGGTCGCAGTAGGAAAGCTTCGAATTTTCTCGTCTCGCTCTTAGATAGGCGCAATAGGCGTCCAAGAAAGCATTGTACCCAGAAACGACTGGACGGTAGCCATGTTTACGGAAGTGACAACACACTCACATCACAAACACAGTTACACTACACAAAAAGACAATATTTACTGATAGTGACAGCAATATAGTGCTGAATCAATAATGTTGCCTCAGTAACGTTAGAAGTGTGTCTGTATTTCGTCAACAATGGTGTCTGTATTTCGCCACAATGGTGTCTGTATTTGGTCACAATGGTGTCCGTATTTCGTTACAATGGTGTCTGTATTTCGTCAACAATGGTGTCTGTATTTGGTCACAATGGTGTCTGTATTTGGTCACAATGGTGTCTGTATTTGGTCACAATGGAGTCTGTATTTGGTCACAATGGTGTCTGTATTTGGTCACAATGGTGTCTGTATTTGGTCACAATGGTGTCTGTATTTGGTCACAATGGTGTCCGTATTTCGTCACAATGGTGTCTTCATTTCGTCACAATGGTGTCTGTATTTGGTCACAATGGTGTCTGTATTTGGTCACAATGGTGTCTGTATTTCGTTACAATGGTGTCTGTATTTGGTCACAAAGGAGTCTGTATTTGGTCACAATGGTGTCTGTATTTGGTCACAATGGTGTCTGTATTTAGTCACAATGGTGTCTGTATTTGGTCACAATGGTGTCTGTATTTCGTTACAATGGTGTCTGTATTTGGTCACAAAGGAGTCTGTATTTGGTCACAATGGTGTCTGTATTTCGTTACAATGGTGTCTGTATTTGGTCACAAAGGAGTCTGTATTTGGTCACAATGGTGTCTGTATTTGGTCACAATGGTGTCTGTATTTCGTTACAATGGTGTCTGTATTTGGTCACAATGGTGTCTGTATTTCGTTACAATGGTGTCTGTATTTGGTCACAAAGGAGTCTGTATTTGGTCACAATGGTGTCTGTATTTGGTCACAATGGTGTCTGTATTTCGTTACAATGGTGTCTGTATTTGGTCACAATGGTGTCTGTATTTCGTCACAATGGTGTCTATGTTTCGTCACAATAGTGTCTGTATTTGGTCACAATGGTGTCTGTATTTCGTTACAATGGTGTCTATGTTTCGTCACAATAGTGTCTGTATTTGGTCACAATTGTGTCTGTGTTTCGTTACAATGGTGTCTATGTTTCGTCACAATAGTGTCTGTATTTGGTCACAATGGTGTCTGTATTTCGTTACAATGGTGTCTATGTTTCGTCACAATAGTGTCTGTATTTGGTCACAATTGTGTCTGTGTTTCGTTACAATGGTGTCTATGTTTCGTCACAATAGTGTCTGTATTTGGTCACAATTGTGTCTGTATTTCGTTACAATGGTGTCTATGTTTCGTCACAATAGTGTCTTTTTTTTGTCACAATCTTGTCTGTGTTTCGTCACAATGGTGTCTGTATTGCGTCACAATGGTGTCTGTATTTCAATTTCGTTTCCCGGGAACTTCTGTTAGTCAGTCCAGGCTCGATTGATGGATACGGCGTTGCCAACTTTTAAACGCATACATTTTCTCACTAAATGACACTGTCCTCATTTATTCCAAACTGACAATAGATATATACCGTTGCATATATTTTTTGGTAAGTTGCTATAACTAATACACAAATATGGAAGGGAATACATAATACAGCATGCGTGGCAAGTTGAAGAACTTGATATAACTGTTAATTCCATTATAGGAATAAAGTTTATAATGACTGGGATCGCCTCCGTGGTCTAGTGGTAGAGCGTCCGCGCGGAGAGCGGAAGGTCCGGGGTTCGAACCCCGGCCTCGTCAAAAGAAAAGATGTTAAAAGATGGTACTTGTTGTAACCCTGTCTGGCACTCGGTATTAAGGGGCTTAAACAAGGACTGGTCGGCTCGGAGTCAGAGTTAGTATACAGTGTCTGAGTGGGGTATTCATGTTAAAATGCGGCATGGTGTCTCAGTGGGCTAGCACTATGTTTCGGAATCAGTCCGGACCAGCACACACACACACACACACACACACACACATGCACGTCGCTAAATAAGTGGAATGATATTGGACGCGATGTGTCTGGTGTGTGCGGACAACTATGGATAAGGTGTCCGTTTATTTGGACGTATTCACTCAATGGCAAGGTTTTGACGATTGATCGCTGAAGCCAAGTTACGCTTCTGATGCCACTGTTGCCACAATGCCCCATCACTGAAGGTGATGCTGGCTATCAAGCCCGTTCTTACTCGTAGTGGCATTGGCGAAATGACGAAAGCATAACCTGCAGATAGAATGGTGGATTTCATTTTGTTTTTTTGTATTTCCCCACCTCCTTTTATCCTGACTTGCACATAGTGTAAGTTTTCCCGTTTGATAAAAACTGGCTTTGAAAAAGGGACGGTGACAATGCCGTTTTCATCAGAACTTGGCGGTATCGTTACTTGCATGTTAAGGAGATACACTATTTCACTGTTCCTCAAAACTCCCACCTCAATATGGCCGAAGCTTGTTTCTTTTCGAGAAACGTAACATTTTAGAGAGTGAAATACGGCGTCATGAGAACTTTGCAAGGATATCCATCCTACTGGAGGCGAGAAAGTGATATGATGAGTTTCAGGAACAGACGATGTGCCCATTATGACTGCCTGTATATTGTCTGATGTTACTTCCAAATCCTTTCGATTGCATTCCGCTTCTGCCCATGCCGACACAGCGCTCAACACGTTTTCGATATTGATATCGAGATCCAGGGAACATACGATCCCGTCAAACAATTCGGGAGAGAGATCTTTAAACCCAGAAGGAACCGCACTATGTGTAATGCTTTCAATGATGATAAGCATGGCTTTGTGATAGAGGAGACTGCCTTCGTCAAACATTACCATAAGTTGCATTACATCGGATGCATTTTCAGGGCATACGTTGTTTTCAAGATGCGAAACACATAGGTTTGATAGATTCTCAATGTCATACTTCTCGGCTAAGTACAGCAAATCACCAACGTTTTCTGGCAACTCTTCACATTTTCCTGTATTGAGATAACTGAAAAGAAGAAAATTATGTTTCTCATAAATGCATCTACAATGTGCATCCATTTTTCTTTCGGGAGGCACAAGTTGCTCAGTGAGTGAGTGAGCGTGTGAGTTGGGTTTTAACGTCGCTTTTAACAGTATTCCAGTTATATCACGGCGTGTCAGCTTGATGTGGGAGGAAAGCCCGAGGTGATGCAGGTCTCAGACGTTTACCACTTCGGTGAAACCCACTAGCACGGGTATGGTGCTGACAAACCTAGAAACATAATCGGGGCGAACCGGGATTCGAACCAACAATCATAGGTTTCTGGCGTGCCCAAGGGACGCAACTCTCTGCACAGGCGCCTCAGACGACTTGGCCACCCGTGCCCCCTGCTCAGTGGTAGGGGGGTGGGGTGGAGAAATGTGCGAGCCTTAGTTGCAAGTATCCACGGGTTCTTGTTTCAGATTATGATCCTTAAGCTCTCCTTGGGTTTCACGATAGCAATACAGCTCTTGTGATGAACTAGAATACGAACCAGAATGGCTTTAAACTCTTCTACATGTACGTAACCAATCATGATCTGTCATTTCCTTGACAAAATATTACGTTTCAGTTTGACAATGGCAATGAAATTATTAATTAATACGAACAACACTTACCCCACAAATATAGCAAATACCGCTTCCTCTACATCTGGTATTTTGATCTCGCCTTTCTCCGCCAAGGGACCACAAAGCATGGCACGGAAGACAGGGCTTTGATTTATCAACATGTCTCTCGTGGTCACAATGGCAACTTCCTCAGGTCCTACCAGGAAGACCACATGAGTATTGTTGCCCAAAGTTGACTCAGCCATTTCCCCGTATTTTGAAGCAGTGCGTGTTTTCTCCGCCACCTGCAATGTCATTGGAAGGAAGCATTATAAGAAACATTTCAAACTAGTTTTCTTTAAATGGCTAACATAAATGTATAGTATAGCCGTAGTTAAATTGCTTGGAGACACACATAAAGGACTATTTGATATTCTGGGGAGGGGTGTGGAGCTTGGGACTTGGGGCTGGGATTTTTTCGAAAAAAAATAATTGACCCCGTATGTGACATTCACAGTGTAAGCTTATTTGTCAGGATGTATGTACGATCTAACTCCGATGTCATATGTATGTGTTTGTGAATCACTATCAAATAGTGATGATACCAGTTGTTTGCAAAATTGTACTGTGTAAGGATGACATCTTAATATACTGAACGGAAATAGTTAGGGATCGTACATATTTTTGGGGATATTTTTATGAAATTATATGCTCAAATTTCACTTAAAACAATCCCCAAAATATTACCGATTTGTAACTTTTAATCAGTATAGAAAGCCAATAACAATTCCCCGCTATGGTATACATTATATCACAATGGCGTTTTGATAGAAATCCCATCTATTCCCATGTATTTCAGTAATACTGATACAAAGAAAGTGTAGAAGTGTTTGAAATAGATCCGCATAGATCTTAACGCATGTACATACTGCCTGTCTCGAATACCTCATTGTTCATAGAATGTACGCATGTATAGACACGTACACCTAGGACGTACACGCTAGATATGCTATGAAACGCGAATACATGTGTTGATGATAATTAAATAACATGTAATTTACATGGCGGCATTTAATCACATACTCGTACGTTGTATGAATCGCATGTTACTAAAAGGGTGGTCACTGATGACCTCGGCGTCTCATTCAAAGAGCGTCATGAATAACCGATGTATTGGCTATCTCAAACAGGTCGACTAGTTAGTGACATGTGACATGTAACATGTAACATGTGTCACGTGTCATGTGTAATGTCTCATTTTGTTCAACTACTAAATTGTGTTTTCTTTTGTGATAATAGCGAACAATATGTACCACGAAAATAATATATTGTATTCCCCGAATAATAATCTTGAGCAGATCCTACTGCTACCTAATGGCGAGGTGTTTGCGTGGATTGTTGGAGTATTTAATATATAGCTATGACCACGGTTGGACCAGTCGTCAAAGGCGCCGCTTTGTAGAGTTGCGTATGTAGTGAATAAAATACAATATTTTCGTAAAGTAAACACAAAGACAACACAACTGAGAAATTGAACAAAATAACACAAGTAACATTACACATGACACATGACTGTTTGATGTGGAACTGGTGGCCCAGTTGTCTAAGGCGGCGCAATTCGCGTTGCAGAGTTGCGTCCCTTGGGCACGCCAGAAACCTATGATCGTTGGGTCGAATTCCGGTTCGCCTCGATTATGTTTCTAGGTTTGTCAGCACCATACCCGTTCTCGTGGGTGTCACCGAAGTGGTAAACGTCCGAGACCTGCATCACTTCAGGCTTTCCTCCCACATCAAGCTGACACGCCGCGATATAACTGGAATACTGTTTAAAACGGCGTTAAACCCCACCACTTGATGACTCTACATTGTTTAGATTGTTCAACTTGAACAACGTTGTATAATTGACCTTTTTCACACTTCGCTACTTCCGTTTCGAAAGCGAGGCTTGGAGAGCAGAAGGTGAAGGCTGGATAGCACATGAAACACATTGAGATGTCAACAAGGCATGCAATCGGGACAAACTGTAACAATTTAACCATCCCGGTACATTTATCGTAAGTATTGAACATTATTCTTATTGACAAACTATTCTACTGTTATCTGGTCTCCTTACCTATATAAATTTGAGTCTGGCCGTTCTGTTGTGATTTCAATTTAAAATATCCATGACCACCTGGTAACTCCCAGTGCAGTTTATGGTAGCTGAACAGACTTAATACAAATTCTACTGAAATCTTGTAAAAAATAATTCATTGTTTACAGAATTATTCATTTCAGGCCAGCGAGTCAACACAATGAAGTACTAGTATCCCGTGACGGATGTCTGGAGGAGCTTTCTGCTGACAGTAACACACTGGTTACAATGTCCATCCTGTCAAAGGACGAGGAAGTGAAAAGCCATATTCATTCAATCAACAAATGTGGTTCCTGTCACATTTCTCTTAAATAGGACGAGAAACTGAAAAGCCTTATTCACTCACAAATCAACATGGCCAATATTTATCGGACACTGAAAAAGCACATTGTACCATTTGTTTACAAGCAAGAAAATTATTTTCTCCTGGAATTTAATTAGGTGCTTTTGACTGACAAAGACACCCAGTCCATGTTAAGTTTTGAAAACTTATATTGTGAGAAATAAAGATATGAAAATTTTGGTTTGTTTTTCTTTGTCAAATATGAGAAATCCAGATTGTTCCATCAACATAATTTGTACCGATACATAAATTTTATCTTGGCTTGATTACCAATTGAAGTTGATTCCTTTTTATCTTTTGTTATTTTATCTGTACTCATATCTGATCAAGACATTTTCAAACTATTCAGGATAAATGTATTAGTAGCTTCCTTTTGATATACAATTACCTTTCATCATACAGGATTAGGTGAGGGTGTTCAAGAAGTTGGTAGTTGTATCAATTCTTATATTTCTTCAATTTCATGCATTATTTATATTTATCAATTTTTAGTTTCCTTTTAACTTATTTTAAACAGTTCACACATTATTACTTTTGTAGTGCACGGTGCAATCTCAATCGGCAATAATCAGTTAAGTAAGTGATGTTTGAAGAACAAGTAAAGTATCATCTGTCATTGTACACACTGAATAGGGTTATCGCCCCTTCTGAATATTTATTTTGACACACGAATTATTTTCATAATTAACATTGTAATATGTTAAAATGAAAATCATAGCAGAAAAAGTGTCTTTTGTCAACTGGACTCATGGCAAAACGATAGTGCGTTGTGCAGAAACACCACTATGAAACGTGAAATAAACATGATCTCAATCTTGATCTAGAGTTCGCCAAGCCACGCATTGACTGAGCAATTTTGCAAAAGTACACTGACGTGTTTCATGTTATGCGGTTTATTTACGATAGAAAACTTCTGTCATTGAATGTACTGTCACATTGTACCTATATGCCGACGAGGTTTTGATAAAACAATCTATTTCTGAAATACGTATCTCGAAATGCACCTTTCGATTCACTTCCGGGATCCTGACAGCAAAATGCTAATTCCAGTGTATAACAGGCATATTTTAGTTGGACCTCATGATTTAATGTGAAATATCTTCTGTATTATATACAGAGGATACCATTTTTTGTTTGTTTGAAATGTCCATCAGTGAAATGCACAACATGCTGTCTATTCCCTATGAGCTGATGCGACTCTCACTGCATGGAGCTATGCTCTCCAAGCCTCGTTTTCGATCCAAGATGGCGAAAGTGTGAAAAAGGTCAATAGACACGTTGTAATTTACAGGGCAAACATATCGGGGTTCATAAAAATCATATGTGCCCTAGGGTCATATCGCGTCAACAGTGTATTGTTTCCTTCATCAGGACGGCATTGTTAACGTCATTCGAATCTTATTGTGACGTGAGGTCGGAATGACGTCACACTTGAAATAATGTCATAACTGAAGATTATCGACGTCATTCGACAAATTGTTGTTCCGCTGTTGTTGAAACTTGCTGTCCTTATAGGTAAATACTAAAATTCGTCTCTGTATGTAGACACCTTCTTCGGTAATAAACAGAACATTATATTCATGTTCAGATGTGCAATCCAACTCAGCAATGTCTTATGCTGTCATTCTGCAATGGTTCGGGAACAAACGAGTACCATAAACCTTGTGAAGGGCGTGTGGGCCAGGACAAGCTTACCTTTTCGCGAACACGAAAATGATGTAATTCCCTATTTTGATTTGTACCAAATGTTCCCGTGTGTTTTTCAGGTGAACAATTGACTAGCCGTTGCATGTGTTTGTGACGGGTACCATCGGTGGGGCAGGATACGCGTTTTTAATAAGCACACTCGGTAAATCGTGCTGTGCACAAATCCGCTAAAGATCTATGTTGTCATGGTGCATGTCTCAGCATGATAATACTTATGCTCTTTTGTAGAATTACTTTTGGACATAACGATTTGACTTGTTACAAATATTCTCTCTTCATGCTCCAATTTCTTTCGCTTGCCTTTCATTCAGTATTAACCCAGCCCTGATATCGTTCTAGATATTGTTCTAAGTTAAAGACAACCACGATGGCCCGACATTGTTCTTTGTCAGAAATCACATATTTTCTCATGTTTTTTTCAGTAATATATATAGCACTACTGCCTAGAAGTTCATTCCCCTTACACGCATGGGCAACGCGTTACGCAACCAGTGTGCATCGGGTTGGTCACGCGTGTGATACCCGTGTGAAACGCGTTGCACACGGGTGTGCACCCCGTCCGCCACTCGTGTGCAACGCGTGACACACTCATTAGAGGGGGGACAATCTTTTGACCAAAGGAGGACCCGTGTTAAGCTGAACCTGGATGTGGTAACAAGGAGAGAAAATTTTGTTATCCTGACGAAAAATGATAATACACATGTATTTGCTAATGTCTCCTTTCTTTATGTGATTTTGTGGGAATAACATGAATACTGTTGTGATTAAATAGATCTGTCTTGTTTTATACGACCATTGCTTCTAAATCCGATGGTGTTAAGAGAATGCATGGTCCTGGAACATGTTATTGCAATTGAAATGCTTTTATTGTGATTTGACATTAACCGTATGTAGTACGACTTTCAGTGATAATATGTATGAGGTTTGGCGGCGCATTGTTTTTTTTGGACCCTAATTACTTTATGATGACTTGGACTCTTTATCTCAGCTCCATAGCCGTGAGGCTGGAAAAGAGCAGCATGTAATTAATGAGGGTGGGTTATATCATTGAGGATACACTTGAAGGAGAGAATACTAATTAC